AAACAATTTCATGTAAAATATTTTAGGCGGAATTCTATGTCGCACCAAAACAGCTTTGGTAATATGGTGCCATCTCAGATTTACTGCTCAGTTGTCCTCCGTTCATTTAACACACGAATGGGCATCAGAGTAGAAACCACCGACATACCTTAAGCAAACAGGATAGTTTTCTCACATAAATGGACCCAAAATCATCGTTGGGAGTCGAACTAACAGTGTTAAAAGAGAGGCAGTTTGAAGTCAACAACTTTAACCAACGAACACAGACAACTTTTGAGGTGATTAGATATCATTCATCTCTCCTTGCTTATTAGAAACAACAATAACAGCACCTCTACCGAAAAAAAAAAAAAAAAAAAAAAAAAAAAAAAAAAAAAACCAAAAAAAAAAAAACCAATAAAACAATACACTTATATCGCGTTACCTTCAATTACACTAACATTGGGAAAGTTGATTCAAAACAAAAGCACATACTTCTCAAATCGATTTGATATACTGTTATAATAGCACTAATAGCACATCATTAGGCACAGTTACCTATACTTCTCAGACTTTATAATCGCAACTATAGCAACCACCAAACATAGCTACCAATACACATGTACTTCTCAAATTGAAATAAAATACATTTATAATAGCAACTGTAGCACACCACCAGAAATATCAACCCAATTTTCTCAAATACAATGTATATCCTAATATTTTTATAATGACAACTACAGCAGACCCTGTGGCAAAGCTACCCGTACTTCTCCAATTGATTTAAAATACTTTTATAATGGCAACTATAGCACATCACCAGACATACCTACCCATACATCTCAAATATATCATAATATTTTTATAATGGCAACAACAGAAGACCAAGTGCCAAAGCTAACCATACATCATAAATGAATTACAATGCTTCTATAATGGCAACTATAGCACATCACCAGACATAGCTACCCATACTTCTCATATTGATTTAAAATACTTTTATCATGGCAACTATAGTGTGCCACGTGACAAAGCTACAAATACCCCCCCAATCAATTTATAATACTTTTATAATGGCATCTATAGCCTTCCACGAGACAAAGCTACCCACACTTCCCCAACAGATTTATAATATTTTTACAAAGGCAACAATACCACTTCACAACACAAAGCTACAAAGCTACCTCCCAAATAGTTCTTTGATAGTTTATAAAGGTGGATATCGATTTAAATGACTAAAACATGAAATTTCACAGGAGATCAATGGTTCATGGTGAAACACCCTATTTGTACATAAACAAAGTTCTACTCATATATTATGTACTCGTGATCCTCATTTGTCTATAAGGGTAACACATTTGAAGCAGTCAAACACGTCAAAGGACCAAATAAGATACATTGATGGTTTGGGTCAGTGTTTTGTCTTAGGTGTTTATGATGATATAAATCAAGAAAAAATCGAGTATAAATGCACAATAATAAAATGATATTATTTTTCTTCCAAGATGGCAGTACAGACCTGCGGACAAACACCTCTTATTGCCGAGCTACACCTTGGTGGAAGTAACACACAAAATCCAAATATGTATTTTACAATTTCATAGACACAACACACTGTTTGTTGTACTTGAAATAAAATAGGAGAATGAAGCACGTATTTTTGTATTTATTTTTATAATAGTTCTCTAACTTAAATGATATTATTATATTTTTCCACCAGCACATCTTTTCATATGAATTATACTTAAGAGAATTACAGAAAGGTTGGATATCATTTTTGCTAATTATTTACAATACATAACGTCTTTTTTTGTATTTTCCGAGTGCAGATCAGGAAATACTATGCTGACAATTAATTTCTGGCACAGAATTTCACGACAAACCTGACAACAAGTAGTTCTCAAAACAGCTTAAAACTAGCGATGTAAAAGAAAGAAAGAAATATTTTTATTTTGTTACAAGTATCCAACAAATTACAACACATTCAAAGTTTAAAAGTAGCGTTGGCTTATAGAATTGTCAATAAATGCACAATCACAAATTTCGCGGATGAATATCGTTTTAATCAATGGAAATGCTATGTTTAGCGATGTCGATTACCGAATATTTCAGAGCGTAGTACACAAATAAATCTGACTGTCGAGTAGTGGAATATATACATGTCGGACTGTTTTGGTGATAAGATTTTTTTCTAAATTATTTACATCAGTGTTAAACAACAAGTTTATCATGAACAAAATACCACAAAATTAATAAGGATTACAAACCCTTTTAGTCAAGTCAGATTTTAGTCAAGTTGTCTTCGTATAACTTCCCTGTGGTGCGGAGTAACGCGCTCGTTAAGGGTGTGAGAGGTCTAAGGTTCATATCCGAGTCGAGTGTCTTTTTTAATGAAGTAGCCACGATATGCAAGGATCAAGTGTGGCTGTAATAAAAAATGAACATAATTGATTTTTTATGCAACTCTAGTCATGCAAATTTCTGTATGTATCAAACTCAAGCTGTTAAAGTAAAATATCTAAACGCAGTCGCTGCCCTGTAAGATGAATTATAGTATATAAAAATAAATTTGTACAGATATACAGTACGAATTAGATTGCAAAGACCAGAAAATACCACAGAGATTGCAGCCTTTTGATTTACATTAATTTCTGTCAGACTCTAAGATAGATATCATTTTGTGGAGCATGCGTGTACTACTTAAAGGGAATGTAAAGGGGAATGGGGGCGGTCTCTTATCAAAGGTGGTCCATAACGGGAAATGAGATTTAGCTGATGTATGAATTTCATTTCAGTCACTCTTTGTCCTAATGTTAGTTTTGGTATGGTTATATATATATATATATATATATATATATATATATATATATATATATATATATATATATATATATATATATATATATATATATATATATATATATATATATATATATATATATATATATATTACGTTTTGAGCATTGCAGTGCCTTTCTTTTTAAAACAATGTATAGTTAGTCTGGCAAATCTTTTTTATAAATGTGATTTTGCTTCCCTTTTTCAAGGAATTCAATTAAACTTGTGAGTTTCGGTTATTCAGGTAATTATTCAGTTAAAGTACAGACACCGAACATTTTTCAAAATACACCATTAAAAAGAGGAAAGTCGGCGTATGTTTAATTAAACTTTATGAAAAAACTAAACTACTCATTTCCAATTCTTAAATATTTGCACCATCAGTAAAACGGAAGTCAACTACATGGTAGAAAAAACTTGTCTGGGCTTGGTTTGTGAAGTGTCTGCCCTTGAAATAAGCAGAAATTCCGAATTCAATTACGAAAAACGGCCTTTTGTACCTACGGTTTCTACTACCATATGTGGATTGATCTAAAATTTCTTGGCCCGATGTACGTCCAGTAGTCAGAGAACCAAACTAAAGGTATTACCATTCAATATAATAGCCCTCTACATCAATGAACATTTCCAACCTGTGCTCCTTCAAATAGAACTCTCTATTTTGGTCCTCAAAGAACTCATTTACACCTTCATTGCTTCCAAAACGTCTACCACGAAGCTTGGTCTTCAGTTTCGGAAACAGATAGAAGTCGGAGGGGGCCAAGTCCGGAGAACATGATGGATGGGGAGGAATTTCAAAGCCGCCGTCAGTTGCAGCAGCCATTACAACATGGGATGTGTGAGCTGACGCATTGTCGTGCAGGAGCAGAACGCCTTAAGTCAGTTTGCCCTTCCTTTTATTCGCGATTTCTTGGCGCAGATGTCTCAAATGTCAGTGTACATAAAAGTATATCGGGCCGAGAATTTTTTTTATCATACCTCGTAATAATTAGTTTATAAATGATGTATTGTTAACTTTTTTTATCTGTGAATTAACTTATTTTAAGCGGACTGTTACTTAATGTATTAAAAAACCCTTAAAATAGCGTTAAAATACATTTTGTTTACACGTTTAGTTTCTTAGCGTAGGTTAGACCAAAATACCGTATCCGTTCTGTGTATTCATACTTATTGATTGGGCGTAAATGTTGCGAGACACTGGTGTTCTTACGATTCCAGTAAATTGTCTTTGTAAAAGCAAGCAAAGAAAGTAATTACTCAAGCGTTGGAGAAACACGCCATATCTTGGCAGCATCCATGTCTGAGATCTATTAAGAAGAAATTGCTAAAGATCCTGTCAACTTACTGTTTTCTAACATTAAAAAAGAGACGCATATTGGCGACTTTACAATAATTGAGTTTTTTGAAAAGGGAGATAACTCGAAATGAAAAGCAGTACTTAATTGTCAGTACTAAAAGATTTAAAATCAATGATCTCTTAAGAGCAAACAAATTTATGATACTTTTAAACAGCTGCCGCACTTAGCAACTATTGTCGTGAGTAAAGTAATGTTAAGGAAGATCCTGCAATTAAACTAAAAAAATGCTGGGTGTTGTTGACAAGTTTATTTCCAATATATGTAGTAAAACTCCACCTAAAAAAAGTGAATTCATAGGTAAAAAAGCAAACATTATTTATATATTTATTATTATGGTTGTAGAAACCGAAAGTACAAAAAACCAACCTGTTGACATTTAGTCGGAATTGTTAAATATTGAACATCAGTGGGCATATTTAAATTAAAAATTATTGTCAGACATATTTTCAAGCATAAGAGTACCGGAACGTACATTAGATGTCAAATATATACAGTCGTTTTACATTAAAATCTCTGTTTCTGTTTACATCTGAAACCACGTGGTAGAACTACTTTCAATCCGTATGGTTTCCGATGTTATTATAGATAATAGCCGAGGCAGTTCCGAATGCAAGAACTGACGGAAAGGTCCGAGTAGTTGCGATTGTAAAATATCAAATAAAGGTGATAGCAATTAGTCAATACATTTTGAAAATGATAATAAAAAAAGTTTCGGTCATATAACGCGCGGTACTGTAGTTGTTTAAAATTATCTGTCCCTTTACGATAATGTTAACCTAGTAACTCTTCAAACATCACGATTTTTCCTTATCTAGGGTCGTTCAATTACGACACTACCTTGTCGCAAACCGTCTTGAGGTTTAAGTAGTATCTGATTACAAAATCAGTGCAACAATGATTCCTCTACTCCAAGGTAAAATCCTTTGCGTTAAACAATGATTGAAAAATAAAAATAAATTTACATGTTATTATTAAACGCCACAATATGTTTTATAGGTTCTTTTTTCTCCTTTTTGCAAAATGATTGGTGTGCTATGACATACATTAGAGTTATATTATTTCGATGTGTTTGTTTGTTTTGTTTGGGATGAAAAAAAAATATTTTGCAAATCCATACATTTGTCTTACCATGTATGCAATACTTAAAATGTTGTAAGAGAATAAGAATTTTTAAAGTTCTTCACCAATAAATAAGACTCATGAAATAAAATTTTACGTCTATGTCTACGTTTTACGTCGGTTGGTAGGTTATGCAACACGGAGGCATTGACAACGACTGTAATTTAGATGATAATGCCGTAATAGACTGTTATTTTAAGTGTGTCACACAAGTGGATGACATAAGCCAGACGTCTGGATGATACAGACTACGGTTTATTCTGCCTGTACATTTTTTGATCTTGTTTCGGTTGGGTTTTATGCCGTCCCAAGACACTAGCTTTACTTGTGAAAAAAGAGATCAACTGCCATACGTGTATTATTTGAGGCGCGAACGGGCACCTGAGTGGAATAACCGGCATTCCCTAAGCTAACTGGATTTCTCCAAGGTCCAATGGCAGTATCTGTAAAGGTTGTTTAAATAGTGAGACTGACATTTCTTTTTCTCTGAAATTCTTAAACATTTCATTGAAAAAGAAATGAATAAATTTTGATATCATTCTTTTTACAGTGTCGGTGTTAATCATATTCCTACACTTTCAACTGTGCACCGCTCCTGGCAGCCGTAAGTTTATTTTCTTGGACCAAGTTAAATGTATATTTTGTTTAGGATAATACGAACATTACACGTACCAAATGTAATGTCTATTTGACATAATTAAAATACAAGTTTAAATACAGGGACAAGTTTCATAGAAAGTCCGAAGTACAGCCTTAGTCCTAAGACTTATGACAAAATATATGGCTAACATAAGACACTTTCAGTAAGTATTTTCATCTTAAGTAGAAGATTTAGACTTTTATTTAATTCATTTTCCTCAGAAAAATACAATGACATGCACTTCAATCGGCCATGTGTTAATGCTATTCAGAAATTGTCTTTACACGAAAGTCATAAGTTACGACATTTTCTTTGAAAAAAGGTCTTGGTTTTTTGTCTTTATCTAGGACTTTCAATGAAACGCCACCCAGAAACTAATGAGAGGAAAATATCATTTTAAGAAAAATAAAATTAATTTTACAATGTTTAAAGAGTCTGAAAATGTTTACCAAGACCGTCCTGTAAATGTGACAGCGCAGGTAAAGTATTTTTTGTAAAGACAAATTTACCAAATAAAATACGGGGCCAAAGAAGAACGGAACTCAGCCTCCGATATCATTTAACTTCAAAGAATCACCACCGGGAAAGCAATCAGTAGTACACGGAATAGAAATGAGGATAATGTCACTTTTTATTACAAGGTTAATTTAATGTTTTCAGTTGAAAATGTATTGCCATTGATAAAATATGTACACGTTGACATTTTACCGAGCCTCCATATCACATATAAAGTAAAAACCCCCGAAACACTCATATAGTAAAGGCCTCCAGAATACTCATATACTAAATATGACAATCATTTGTCACTGTGGTGCACATTATAGAAGGTCTAGTACCTAGGAATCTAAAATATGAATCAATTGAAAATGAGTCGCGAAAATATGTTACAATCTTGCAGTAACGTGAAAATAATTGTTCAGCATTGTTGCCATTCAGATGGTCTAGAGACTTGTGAACATCACTGTAGTGAACATGGACATTGTGTGAAAGTGCATGCTTCGACTTACAAGTGCCAATGTCACCACGGATGGGAAGGGACTGCCTGTTCGCACGAAATTATTGGTAAGTGCAGCAGGTGTTTAGTACTTACTATTATTGGTAAGTGCAGCAGGTGTTTAGTATTTTGCCGGTCAATATTTAAAGCCTGATAAATAATTAGGTAATTTTTCCCATGTATCTTTCTTATTCCTTTGCTTGACTTTCCGGATAACTGAGTTTTATGCTTTCTAATACTTTTTTTTGTTCTCAAGACATAATGTTGGTTACCACGGTAGAAGAAGATACATTTAAACGTCTCTTTGATTCGTTTGGCAACTTCTAGCATTAACTTTTACAACGGTATTATAGTATGAATTGTTTGGCGACCAATACTTATATAGCTAGATTATAAATTTAGGCCATAACCACAATGTGTATGAATGCAAGGCAATGCGATTACTAAGAATGTGACGTAATAAATATACATCTATAATAACTCGTATTGCATGTTAACAACACAGAGGATTAGGGTTACAGAATGACCTCATTTGAAGGCTATGAATATTCTAATGAAAGTAGAGCGTTCCAAACTTAATCATAATTCAGCTTTTAAAAAAAAATTCCAACAACAAATTCTAAAACTCAAATTGCCACGAAAATAACTGCGTAGTTATAGTTCCAGAGAAAAATGTCATTTTTTGCACTTACCTTTGCAAACAGTACTGTATGTGTAGGCAATTCGAATCTAATGCAATCCAAATATATAGCTGTCCGAATATACTCCAATCCGAATCATGAATTGTCTATATAATATCACAATAAAATCAAAATGATATGTCATTTATGTTTTCTTGGAGAGTAGAATCTGTAACAATCTGTAATAATTAGTAACTGCGTGTCAGAAAATAGACGACCCAAGTTATCCAGAAGTACTAAAATGACGAAGATTCATAAGGTGATTCTTATTCCACGCTTCATTTCAACATTAATGCTATTATATTGAGTGTATGTATATTTTCTTAAGGAAATACACTTGTGCAAATGTATTTAGGCTTATGCGTAAAATTACTGTTTAACAGTGATTGTCCATGTCTTTATAGGAAAGCCCTTGTACATTACACAAATGCCGCACGCTTTTAAAAGATTTGCTTTATGATACGTTAATTTTCTCTATCCACTATTTGAGTAACTTACATGACTTCAAAGGTATAAAAAATGATATGAACCGCATCACGACAAAACCAACATAGTGGGTTTTCGACCAGCATGGATCGAGACCAGCCTGCGCATCCGCGCAGTCTGATCAGGATCCATGCTGTTTGCTATCAATTTCTCTACTTGTAATAGAGTTGGTAAGCGAACAGCGTTGATCCTGATCAGACTGCGCGGATGCGCAGGCTGGTCTGGATCCATAATGGTCGCAAATATGATATCAATGTAGACTCACTTTATCTACAGCTTCCGGTGCATACTCTCTCTCTGAGTGCCATGCAAAATGCAGTAGCCATGGACATTGTGTACATCATCATACTGGCCATGGGTATATTTGTCAATGTGACTCAGGATGGCACGGCTCGCACTGTACACTGGAAAATACAAGTTAGTAAAATAGTATATAACTTACCAATTCGAAATAACATTTGTACCAAAACGCACATGCACAAAAACAACCAGCAAAAAAAGAAAATTCAAAACACATGTTTAAATATGATGTTATTAACATAGCGCTAATACGTCATCATTTAAATATACCGGCAGGTTAAATTTGAGGAATTTTACACATATATAGCCATGCCTCATTTTTCCAAGGTACTAACTTGTTAGTCATACATAACAAATGCAAACATTATAAAAGTTCTAGAAAATGTCAATACATAATGTTAGAGGACTTGTAAATTAAGTCAGACTGCATTCAATTTAATGTTTACAATCGGTCCCTGAAATTGTTTAAACCAAGTAACTCGGAATTATGGCTTTCGCTAAAATATGAGGCGAGATTATAGTTAAGACTATTTGAATGTTTTACATGTTTGCTGTCAAGTACTATTCTAGAATATATCACATTAGGTTGTAAGGTCCTATATCATAATAAGGTCATAATAAGGTCAACTCGAGTCAATTTGAAGAAACCCCTATAATAACCCTAATATTATATTTCTATAATTTCAGCGTCCACGTCACAACTTCAAGACCATTGTCAAGGACACTGTGGTAGCCATGGGAAGTGTGTACAATATAATCTTCATACTAGTCTCTTTGGTATTTCTCATACGTATAGTTGTCAGTGTGAGGCAGGTTGGCATGGAACTCACTGTACCATGCAATATTCATGTGAGTTACTATTCATAAACTTTATTTGTTTCTACGTTTTCCTACGAAATCTAACCTGATATAATTATTTGTTTGAATTGATGAAGGTTTTAAGATACATCAATACCTCTTGCATGTGCTTGTCAACCCGTCCCCCCCCAAAAAAAAGCGAATGCATCCAGGAATTGTACTAGTGATCACTGACTTTTAAGCAAAATTATTACATCATAACATACTCGACCACTGAGTCCAACCGCATTTATCAGAGGTACCGGTGTCATTTATAGTAATACAGACAATAACTGGTTGCAAACCGTTCACGAGGTTTCATGGAATGTAAGAAATATATTGCTAGTATCGGTGTCTAGTCTGGACAGTTGTGTCTCATTCGTTTACCATAACCCCCGATGCAAGATGCTTCAATAGTAAACACTCGTGATGGTACAATGTCCGATAGTGAAATCGCGATGGAAAGATGGTAAAATAGACACCACACCGCGTTTTCATCATCACATTACATTCACACACTTCACATCACATTCACACACTTAATACACTTTATACTGGCCATAGCTTTCGTAGATCGATCTCAGCGAGTTTGAGTATTCGGAGCAGAAGCGGTGGATAAAAATGGCCGTTTGTTGTTGTCGGTAAGTTTATGAATGAATTTTATCTTATATTTTATCTTATATTTTCACTGGAAACACCTTGTGAGACAACATCCCACATATGTATTCTTCCAACTGATTACACGCACACGGTGCAATTCATTGCCATTTATGCAAAACCTTCTATACAGTTTGACGAAAGGTGGCCACTTTCGCTTTATTTTGTTTCAAACGCGTACAAATGTGTGCAAAACGACCTCATGATTCACCGGCATCACATCGTATGGATGATACTTACGCAAAACAACCATATTTTGGAACTTTTGGAAATTGTTATAACTTGTTTATAAAAGAATTGAAAAAAAATGATTACAACACAGACGGGGTGGATTTGATTGCAAAGCTTCAAATTATTCTTAAAAACTTCAACTTTTTGCTCCACAGTCGTTCAATTTTAATAGTTTTTTTTGGCGAGGATGCGAACAGCACGCTAACTAGCGCTATTTAACAATAAATATTTCGATTCGCGGCACGGCCGTATTACAATTAAATCTTAACTTTTTGCCCCCCCCCGCTTATTAGCGTGTTTTTGCTCCTTGCCCCCGCCATTTTAACTTGTTAATTCTCGACTTTTCGCTTGGCAGGGTCCCGGGGCGAAACACGAAATGGCACAAATCAGCCACCAAACATATAAGCATAATTAACAAGAGCCACCGCCGGGCGGGGGCAACGCTCGACTTTTTACTTTTTCTAAACGCAAACATAGAAAGGTTTGAACATATCTTAACGTTTCCTTTTGATAAATTTAGTTGGTCTTTCTTGTCACATTAGTTCTGTTTATATATTTTGTATATATATATGAATAGAAACATTACGCAATTTCTAAAAATAGCAACATTACGCAATTTCTAAAAATAGCAACATGACGCAATTTCTAAAGATAGAAACAATGACGCAATTTCTATAAATAGCAACAATGACGCAATTTCTATAAATAGCAACATGACGCAATTTCTAAAAATAACAACAATGACGCAATTTCTATAAATAGCAACAATGACGCAATTTCTAAAAATACCAACAATGACGCAATTTCTATAAATAGCAACAATGACGCAATTTCTAAAAATAGAAACAATGATGCAATTTCTATAAATAGCAACAATGACGCAATTTCTTTAAATAGCAACAATGACGCAATTTCTAAAAATAGCAACAATGACGCAATTTCTAAAAATAGCAACAATGACGCAATTTCTATAAATAGAAACAATGACGCATTTCTATAAATAGAAACAATGACGCAATTCTTGTTGTTGTTGTTGTTGTAAATATATATACACACACACACACACACACACACACACACACACACACACACACACACCAATAAATATATAATTATGGTCATTTAATGCACAAATCTGAGAAAATTCAGTAAGTTAACCTTCAAGGTCAAGGACATTAAAGAGCCCAAGCAAATTTGGGTTTGATAAACATCGAGGTCTGGTCCTTAAGAATGTTCTGTTATAATATGAAGTTGATCCCTTCAATAATAGCAAAGTTACAGTCAGTTACCGCCAAAACAATGAAAATTTCAATAATTTGACCTTCAAAGACAATGTCATTAATGAGTGAAGGTCAAGGTCTTTCGGTATATTTTTAACAGTTATCTTTGAAGATTATTATGTTCAAGTTTCAAGACAATCCATTCAAAAATAACAAAGTTACAGCCAATAATAGCCAAAAAAATGAAAATTTCAATAATTTGACCTTCAAAGTCAAAGTCATTTATGAGTGAAGGTCAATGTCTGTCTAGTTATTTTTAAGGGATATCCCTGAAGATAATTATGTTCAAGTTTGAAGACAATCCATTCAAAAAAAACAAAGTAACAGCCAATAATAGCCAAAAAAATGAAAATTTCAATAATTTGACCTTCAAAGTCAAGGTCATTTATGAGTGAATGTCAAGGTCTGGCGGATTATTTTTAAGGGATATCCTTGAAGATTATTATGTTCAAGTTTGAAGACAATCCATTCAAAAATAACAAAGTTACAGCCAATAACAGCATGAACAAGCAAAAATTGGACTTTTAACCTTGAAGGTCAAGGTCATTTATAGATGAAGGTCAAGGTTAGTGTGGTCTAATGAAAGGTCTTGTCCCAAGGGTTGTTGTGGCCAAGTATGAAGACAATACACCAAGAAATAAAAAAGTTATGATCCAGGTACAAGTTTGCGGACGGGAACGGCAACGGCAACGCCGACCTGACTATAACAATACCTCTACTTTTTTTCAAAAAAAAAAAAAAAAGTCGAGCTAAAAATGTTAAATAATTACTCTGTTGGCTTGGCATTATGTTAGAAGATTATAACAGAAATATTTCAAGTGAAAATTCTTAGGGGTTCCCGAGCTCATTTTTCTGCACGTGAATTTAGCTTTTTTTACTTGTTTGGTGTTATTTCAGGGGCAAATAATTTATATATACGTTTAAAAAATCTTTTTTTCTTTTGTCATGTTTTCCAAAAAAAAAAATAAAAAAATTCCATCAAATATTTCTTTTACCTTTTTTTTCAATTTCATCAGAGGTACTTTAAATTCTTTAAAAATATACCATTTTTAAGACAATTTCCGCTGTAAAGATAAAATTTATATGAATTGGTGTTCTCAGTATGATAAAATAACACAATGATATTCAAACTTAGATTGTTCTTCATATTCAAAAAATCATGTTCTTTTTATCTTTAGGAGTATCTGTTTTATATATATGTATGGCAGAAACTTTGTTGAACCTGGAATTGACGGTCGTTTTAAGTCCCAGGTTGAACGTGTTGACTATTCTATGATAATACTGGTTTAAAGAATTTTCAATGGCGGAACTCGGACATCTATATGTATATATATAATTGTATTGTTTAAACACCAAATAAACACGTTTCTCTGATGTCAAAGAAAGAAAACGGTTTTTCTCAATTAAAAAGTGCATTATGTCAAGTTAAGCCCTCAACATAGGCATAAATGGTATCGGGCCTATCGCGTTGCAATTAAATACACCTCTGTCTGCGTTGTAATCATTTTTTGTCAATTCTTTTATAAACAGGCAATTAAAATTTCCAAAAGTTCCAAAAAATTGGTTGTTTTGTATCATCCACACGATGTGATGCCGTTGTATTTAAAAGTCGTTTGAAGTTGTTTTGCACTCATTTGTACGTGTTTTAACCAAACTGATACAAAATTGGCGTCCCCTCGTCAAACTATACAGAAGTGTTTGTATAAATGGCAATTAAACCGTGTGCGTTTAATAAGCTGAAAGAGTTCACATGTGGGCTCCTACCTCACTAGATGTTTCCAGTAAACATTAAAACATAAAACAAAAAATCAGTCATAAACGTATCGACAACAGCAATTTGACATTCTTATCCACCGCTTCTGCGACGAATATTCCACCACCGATGCGATGGACCCACCGCTATTGAGAAAGCTATGGTCAGTGTGCTTTTAATTAAGTTCCATCGTGTCCTTGCCTTTCTAACTATTGTTACATCGTGCGTTAAGTAAAAAGTCACTTGTCCAAACGAAACACCGTTAGAATATAGACAAGAGCTGTCGGTAGGACAGCAACGCTCGACTATTCTTAGTGCTTGATAGTAAAAAAAATGCTTGATACAGTTACCTCCTACTGTTTACAGGTTGGGGTCATGATGTTGAACAAGTGTGCAAAGTTTCAAAGCCATATGTCAATGGACTTTGAAAATATTTGAACTATTACAAAAACTTTAACGTAAATTCTAAGTCGAAAAAGGGGCATAATTCTGTCAAAATGCTTGATAGAGTTACCTCCTCCTGTCTACAGGTTGGGGTCATGATGGTGAACAAGTGTGCAAAGTTTCAAAGCCATATGTCAATGGACTTTGAAAATATTTGAACTATTACAAAAACTTTAACGTAAATTCTAAGTCGAAAAAGGGGCATAATTCTGTCAAAATGCTTGATAGAGTTACGTCCTCCTGTCTACAGGTTGGGGTCATGATGGTGAACAAGTGTGCAAAGTTTCAAAGCCATATGTCAATGGACTTTGAAAATATTTGAACTATTACAAAAACTTTAACGTAAATTCTAAGTCGAAAAAGGGGCATAATTCTGTAAAAAATGCTTGATAGAGTTACCTCCTCCTGTCTACAGGTTGGGGTCATGATGGTGAACAAGTGTGCGTTAGTTTCAAAGCCATATGTCAATGGACTTTGAAAATATTTGAACTATTACAAAAACTTTAACGTAAATTCTAAGTCGAAAAAGGGGCATAATTCTGTCAAAATGCTTGATAGAGTTACCTCCTCCTGTCACAGGTTGGGGTCATGATGTTGAACAAGTGTGCAAAGTTTCAAAGCCATATGTCAATGGACTTTGAAAATATTTGAACTATTACAAAAACTTTAACGCCGACGCCGACGCCGACGCCGACGCCGACGCTCGGGTGACTGCAATAGCTCTACTTATTCTTATCGAATAGTCGAGCTAAAAATGCATTCAGAAAAAGTAACACTGAATCATTGCTTGTGGCATCGCATGTATAGTTAAGTAACATGTATATAGTCTTTATTTATGTCTTACTTATGGAACGGTTAAATGATTATCTTAAATATTTTCTGCTTTTTGTTACACTTTAAAAGGACGTAAAAAATTGCGTAAATTTTAATACAAAATGTTTTTTGTTTTTTTTTGTATATAATTTTTACCTTGCAGCAAGCGGCACAGTGCAGTGTCACAATACGTACTGTGTACACGGAGTTTGCGAGCATGGACATTATAGCTTCAGCTCTGATCATTGTAACTGTAATCATGGATGGCAAGGTCGGCATTGTGATCAACAAATAACAACAGGTATTTATTTTTGTTTTGTTTATTTTAAGAAAGAGATTACAGGGCTAATATAGATTATTGAGATAAATCTATATAACTTAAATATGATATGTGTAGATGTATTTATTTTTGTTTGTTTTGATTAAGTTTTACATCACACCGACACAGTGTATGTCGTATGGCGACGTTTCATCTTTCCTGGTGGAGGAAGACATCAGGGGCCGTTTTATCAACGTTTCATGTAGATGAAATTTAATGCAAAACTGAAAGACAAAATGAGATAAATGGAGATAAATGTAAATGTATATTTATTAAATAAATATAGATATGTGAGATAGATATAGATAAATGAGATGAATATAGAACATGAGATAATGTAAAATGAGTAAATATAAAGAAGATAAAAAAGACAAATACAAAAAAATGAGATAATTATCGAAAATGAGATAAAGATAGAAAGATGAGGTAGCTATAGTTTAAGAGAATTGAGATAAATGTAGATAAAGAGAAATGAGATATAAAAAAGAAAATGCTGCTGTATAAAAATGTCAGTGGGCAGCGACATGGACTGGAAAAAATGATTGTTTTGCTATATATATATCTTACTGATTATTGACCTAAATAACATAACGATTAACCTTTGAGACTGTATAAAATGTTTATCCAGCTCTTAAGTTAAGTCTGGAAAATTCAGACTCCAGTAACGTGTAAATCAATCAAAAAGAAATTTTAATCTTTTATGAACTCCAGTTTTGTTTTGTTTTTATTATTTAAATCAAGAGCAATCACTAAAGGTGATTTATAAATATCTCCACCAGCAACCTTGACTTTTTTGAAAAAATAATTTTTCTTAAAAAGATGAACTTAACCTAATATTAATGAAGTTTCAACTGTGTACAAAGAATTTATTAAATTAATAGCAATCCCAACCAGGATCATCTGATAAGATTGATTTATACTAAATTCAATTAAAAAAATTCAATTCATTCCCTACTTTAGATATTGTCCGAAAACCATTTTTCTATTTTAACAGTGATTGTTGACCCCAGGGGGTCCAACTGCAATGCCATTCGGGGTTTCCGCATAAGGTTGCTTAATACAAAGTTTAATAACAATAACTCACTCTGAACTAATGTTATCGTCCAAAAACCATTTTTCTTTTTTTAGTTTTTTTGAAACAGTGACCTTGATCCCAGGGGATTCAAATGCAATACCAGCCAGGGTCTTCACATAAGCTTGCTATATCAAGTTTGATTACTATATCTCATTCCAAAAAATAGAGAAAAGGGAATCCTTTAAGAACGCCCAAAACGACAAAATTGAAAATGTTGCAGGCTTGGATTGATTGAGCCTGTTCATGGACGGTACTGGAAAGTGCAAGTTACCAACTACGCCCCTAGCACCGACTTAACCAGAATTCAACATTTAAACATAAAAATGGTGAAATTTTGAATTTAGAATCAGCCGCAGATGTGTTCATACGGCGGTCATCATGGAACCTTCAATGTGACAAGTTAGTGCCATTCCATAAAAAAACGGCGTATGGTCCCAAATAACAAAAGTGCGTGTGCCCTAAACGAGAAAACAATGGGTGGAACTAAATAAAATGGAATTTTGAAAGGGGGTCTGAGGTTATGAAACCTTTATATCACATATAAGACGTGAAAAGACAAATTTAAAAAGCAGGCAACATATCCTATGGGTGATTATACAGTTTCCAAGTAAGATAACTAGAACTACCAAAGTTGAAAAGGGTCAAGTAGAAATAACATAACAAGCATACACAACAATAATGTCGTGTCGAACGATCTTCAAGGATCGAAATTATAACATCTTTGATTATATGTACGGGCCAACATTTTACAACTTCCACATGACACAAATAACACTGATGTGGTAATAAAATAGAGAAAACGGAACGCCCAAAACGACAAAATTGAACATGTTGCAGGCTCGGTTAACTCTTTCTAGTTATTGTCCGGAAACAATTTTTCTACTTTTAGTAATGCTGACCTTTGCCTTGACCCGAGGGGGTTCCAAAAACAATCCAAACCGGGGTTTTCATATAAGTTTACAATAAATCAAGTTTGATTATAATATCTCATTCCTATCTCATGTTATTGTGTGAAAACGATTTTTGTCTCATTTAGTAACAATGACATTGACATTGACTCCTAGTGCTTCAAAAGCAATACAAACCGGGGTATTCACATAAGCTTGCTATACTTTAAGTTTGATTACAATATCTCATGTCAAACTCTATTGTCCGGAAAAAATTCTATTTTTAGTAGCCGTGACATTTACTCCTGGGAGACAATAGCAATACCAACCGGGGTCTTCACATAAGCTTGCTGTATAACAAGTTTGATTACAATATCTCATTCAAAACCCTATTGTCCGGAAACCATTATTCCATTTTTAGTAACAGTGACATTGACCTTGATTTCAGGGGTGCAGCAATCCCAATCGGGGTCTTCAAAAACTTGCTATATGTCAAGTTTGATTACAGTATCTCTTTTCCTTTCTCTATTTATTTTCCAGAGATATTTTTTTGTTTTTAGTAACAGTGACCTTGACCTTGACCCAAGTGGGTCCAAAAACAATATCAACCATGAATTAACCAATCGACCTACGGACCTACCGACAAGCTGACTTATATATACCTAAAAATAAATGAGATAGATAAAGATAAATAATGTAAGAATTGTAAATGAGGTAGACACAGATAAATGAGAGTATCTAGATGAAAAGAATAACTGACATTTAGTAAATAAAAGGGAATATGGTTTTCGCGCAGTCGCGGGACAAATATAATTCAATTTATGCTGAACCTAGCTACGTAGTGGTTGAAATTATATTCTAAATAGTTACACAGAGCAAAGTATTTTACGAAAAAGTATGAAATGTCAAGTTGTTGCTGATTTGTACCATAAAATGTATGAAAGATGGAACTATTTCATTGGGCAAAATATAAATTCCAGTTCCAGCATATCATAATTGAAATTTGATAACCAACACTTTACTACAAAATAATACATTTCCAAATTGCATCATAGTTTGAAGACCTATCAATTAGATACGTATCAGAATTAAAGCAAAAAAACATAAAATGTTAATTTCTTACACAGATCAGAAACGGAAAGAAAATTGAGAAATATACTCAGTGACATAAGGAAAATCAAATTTTTGTGCCCTTAGCCGAATGCAAGTAAAAAGCGTTGTAACACTTTTCAATTTTGCGTCATTTTTCAAATTAGAATAATAATTCTTGATAAACTGAATGAGCGAACGATCTGAAAATTTTCACATACGTTATTGTTCCGAAATAAAAAAGAAAAATGTTCCGAAACGAAATGCTATGTTATTTTAAGTAGGGTTTTATTTTTTTAGCAATAATTATTTGCATGCGCCATTCGGTTTTATGGCAATTTACTACTTCATTAATTAAATCTAGCACTTTGGAAGACATATTCTTTTTTTTTAAATTTTGCGATGCTTTGTATCAGATACATAGGTCCTACTAAACACTTCTAAGGACTGCTAAGCAGCCACAAAAGACTGCTAGAGAGGTACAAAGGACCTTAAAATATCTCCTTGGGCATTCTGATTATATATTGTAGTATGTTTAGTAAGAAAAAAATGTATATTTTTCTTAATATAATACATTTTTTCACTATACATGCTACAATATGATAAGAATGCCCCAGGAGCTATTTTAAGGTCCTTTGTGCCTCCCTATTGTCCTTTGTGCATCTTAGCAGTCCTTTTGATGTTCTTTCTCTTTTGTATCATAGTCAAACATAAAAACACGCTACCTGTTGTCACAATATGAAACCCCAGAAAAAAGTAACCAATGAACGAGCATCTGAATATGAAATTTCTGTCGCTTTCCCTTTCTCTGCCGTCACAATAAGTAAACCGCAGCAAAAATGAGCCAATCAATGGACATGATCTGGAGTGCGGGTTACTAATACCTGCACTCCAGTTAACGCACTGTGCATGTATATGTATAAGATTTAACTCCGACACATTTTCAACAGAAAGATCCCCAAACTATGATACAAATTGTTTCTCAATATAATACATTTTTTTAATAAACATGCTACAATATGTTATAAGAATGCCTTAGGAGGTATTTTAAGGTCCTTTGTGACTCCTTAGCAGTCCTAAGCAGTGTTAAGTGGGACCGCAGATATGTAGCTTGATACACAAATTACCGCACTGTCTATCAGGAATAAAAGTAAAGAGTGCTGGTTAATTGGCAACATTTTTTCTGGAGTTTACTTATTATAACGACAGTAAGAGGAATGATGGAAAAATATTATTCAGATGCACGTTCATTGGCTCATTTAGTCTGGGGTTTCATTATGTGTCGAAACGGAAAAGTATTTTTTTATTTTTCCCTTTATTTCAAATTATGTCGACAGGGAATATATTTGTTTTTATTTTTATTTTAGCCTATGATACAAAATTGATCAAGAACAGAATCTAATTTATACCCGGGGGGGGGGGGGGGGGTTCGAGCCCTCGTAAACATCCGATACCTTTGTGTTTCGATGCTCTTTCTATTACTTATATCAAATAAGAACATGTAAAAACCCTATTAAGATTTAATCGTTTAATTTACAATGTTTTTATGAAATTCTTTTAGCAAAACTAACAACAACAACAACAACCACCACCACAACAACAGCTAGACCTACTACTACTACCTCTTCTACTACATCCACTGTAGCGCCGACCACACCACTGCCAACCACAAAAATGCCGACCACAACAAACTCACCGACTACTTGTATTTAATTTACTGGTATTCAAATAGTTTAGTTTATACAAATTTTATTTTAAGATCGATTGTGTTGGGTAAGCTTGATTGTTGACAAAATGTGTACTTATTTGTATACTGACGAGTAATTAGGTTCATTTATGTTCTTTATTGATATTACATCAAGTTTGGCTTTTAATTTTTCTAGAATGTCTTGAGTTACTGTGGAGAAGAATTTCTGATAATGCATTACATAAAGGAAAGAATAATTTATATAAGTATTTTTAACAAATATTTTAGTTGCACCTTTGTCCATCATTTATCGCTGCAACCACGCACAAACTATTGTTGCCGTAGCCTACCAAACACAAGTTTCTCACCCGAATGCTTCCATGTGTGCCGAAGGACAACACACCTCCCACGAAGCGTTTGTTCTCACGGAATGTGATGTACCGCAAACTTCAAACACATGGAAACAAGGAGTTAATGTGTGCTATAATCTTTATTTCTTTCACAAATGTTTGATTCTTCACCCTTTTGCAAATTATTTTAACGCATTTAATGAGTTTAACAAATATTTCATTAAAAATCTTATTATTTTATGTATTGCATTTGAAAAACAATGTTAATTAACTAAGGAGGCAACTTCTTTTAGAAATTCGTGCCTAACATTTTTTGTAACAAAGTCAATTTAAACTTATTGCAAACCTAAATAGGATCACTGGTACATTGCAACTATGTAATATTAATGCCAAGTCAATTTATTCCTTTTTGTAATATCAAGCTACCGTCAAACCGTTATTTTTTTGTTATGTCTAGGTTATGTCACGTTGTGCAAGCTCGAATCCTTTACCTGACAATACACCTATAGCAAGCTTTGACCATGGAATTTATTCTTCAGTTGGTAGTCTCTCTGGGGTATTTCTAGGATGTACAAGTGATGGGTTCAAGGTAAGCATAGACCAACAGTTCGCATTCATTACACCTTCTTCGTCAAGTTCCATGTAAGTTCGTATAAAATCATCATATTCAGTAAGTCATATGTAAGTTATATCTAATTTTCTCGTATGTTTATAGCTCACCTGAGGACAATGTCCTTAAGGTGAACCTAGCTGTCCTCTAATATTAGAAAAAAACACCTTAAAACATCTTAACCACTGGTTCAATTTTGAAATAATTTTACACAAAAATTTCCTTGATGACAGTATACAAAAATTGTTTAGATTAAGCTGTCCCTTATGTTCAAATTGTGCTTCTGGGTGAAAAGGGGCTTCACTGAGCTTTTGACCTATTTCTCAGATGAGCGATGCAGGGCCCTCTGGTCCTTCTTGTTTTATTTAAAGGTTGTATCGTTTTTGATCTGATTTTATTAAGGTTGTGACTATAGAGTATAATTAATAACCTCTAGATTTTTAATATAATTATTTTTATTAAAGCCCTGTTGCAAAACAAAATCTATAAAATGCCAGCTATACTGTCGAGTCCATGTAGTTCATCTGTCATATGAGAAACATTTTACCGATGATCCATGTGTTAAGAGAACTTTATCAAGAACTTTAATAACTTGGCGTCCCTTTATTTTTAATATTTAATTATTGTAGACAAGTTACTTTTTAATATAATTAATTTGGTTATAGTGGGCGTCCATGCAGTAACATTTTGTCGATCACTGAAGCAAAATATGTTAAGTTTATTAACAAAATAATACATAAAGACAACTATTCTAATAAAAGATTGTTTCACTTTTTAGTAAGAACTATGAAACACACAATTATGTAAATCAACCGATATTATGTAATAGTTAGAACATAATGGGTAAAAATGTATTTATTGAAGGAAAATGGGGCGAGAAGAAGCGAGTGAACCTTTTCTGAAAGTAATTATTTGTTCAATATGTACATTGTATAAAGTGAGTTTAAACATAACCATCATTTCCAATGGCAGGAGTAATGTTTCGCAACAATAACAAGAAATGTTACATTGCATCGGTTGATTGTCCTAATTTTATAACAGTTGCCTTTACTTGTTGAGGGGTTGCCTATACGGAGGTCGAGGCATCAAAACTGCAGCCACATTTTAACCCTACTTGATCGTAAGATACTATTAAAGGGGTTCGAAATACTACAGTCTATGCATTCCTTAGCTCTAGCAGGTGAGCTGGTTTTTACCCTTGGTGATGCTTGGTATCAATCGAGGTTAGCCAAAATCACCTTTCCTGTTTCGGCGCCATATTACGACTATGGTGCGCCGTAAAAAAAAAAACAAAAACAAAAAAAAAAAACAAAAAAAAAAAAACAAAACAAAAAAAAAAAAAACAACAGCAAAAATCAAATAAAAAAAAATCAAAAAAAAAAACTAGAAATGTGTCCATAGGACACGGGTGCCCCAACCGCGCCACTTTTCTGTCAATCTTATGACTCTAGGTCAAATATATTTTGGAAAATCTTTTACTTAGTAAAGGGCAATAACTTTACAAATACTGAATAAATCCACAAGCAAACCCCAAGGTGCATAAGTTCACATGCTGACCAACATTCTTGTAAACTTTCAGGCCTACAAGTGAAATACTTTTTGAGCTATGCATGAACAAGTTGAAAATTGCAAACTTATACTTCTGTAAGTCAAGGGCAATAACTCTTACAAAACTGAAAAAAATTCACATGCAAAGTCCCAGGTTCATAGCTTCACAGTGATGTGAATCATTATTCCTGTAATTTAGTGATGTTGATCATTATTCCTGTAAAGTTGGTTGATTCTAACTCAAGCACTCAAGGAACAAATAACAACATAATAAAACGATTTTTACTAAGTCAAGGGAAATAACTCTACAAATTCTATCTTTTTTTTCAGATTGCGTTCCAAACATGTGGACAGTCACCTGAAATAACCGAACTTCTGCAGGGTCATCATTTTAACCAAAATCCTGTCAATTATTTTACAATATCTTAGATATCTGAAACGAATAAGGTTGAAATAAAAAAAAAACCGTAGCAAAATTTACCTTTTTTACATTTTTTTTCCGTTTACAGTAAACGTTTGTTGATAATTCAACATCGGGGTTAAGACAGATAACTCTGAAGAGAAGTAAAATAAAACTGATTTCTTTAGATTATTTTCCTTCATTAATAAGGCATAACGCAAAGTATATATTTCGACTGAAAGAACTGCGCAGAATCCTTTTTCAAGGTTTCTATAGGTAGGGGTGTTTAATTAAAAACGACAGATGTTTCAAAGATGACTAGATCTTTTTTTCATTCCAAAACAACATTTTTTTTTTCAGATAAAACAAAAAATTTTAAAGATAATTCCGTAGCATTCTATATGTCTCCATTATGGGAAACTTTTGTTTTTCTGACAATTGGGGTGAAACTATGAATGTGCCTCAAAGGAAATTAGTTAAAATTAAAAACTGTAAAAGACATGTTATGCTTAAAGCTAATAATTATTGTAACAATATCTTGTTAACAAAGTTTAGTTATGTTTATGTTTTAGCTCACTTATACACGTTAGGTGGACCGCAGAGATATGAAAGTAGTGTATTAAGGAAACAACACTGGCAGTGCTTTTAAGAACGGACCAAGTTTACTGGACACGTAATAGGCAATGCATCTTTCCATACATAGTTTGAATTCCTTTTTATCAAAATCAGACATATTCAGTAAGCATGTCATAGATTTCAATAAACTTATTCTCACGTGACCTTTTTATCACCCAACGAATGATGTAGTTTTATCTGTCTGTGAGTCAAAACGTGCAATCGGAACACCTCGGGCGACTTCAAGAATTCTCCGAACTTGACGGAGATTGCCGAGTTGTTACGATTGTCAAAACCTGTATCAACAATCGTAAAACATCGGCTCTTTCCGTATACTTCGAATAAGGGCCACATACGTGAAATACGAATACACAAATGTAATATCAACAAGAGCACCACTAGGCGGAGGATTATTTGCCGGAAAGTGTTTTTATTTATTTTCTAGTAAGGATGAAGCATTTGTAAGACATGGGAATTAAATATATATTACCTCCTTCATATAGCAATCTGAAGTTTGAATATTGTGGGCCAAATGGAACTTAAGTTATGCTCCGGAAACGTAGAGGCGGCACAATGAAACCTCGCAAAACGCGTGAGAACTAGAAATGTGTCCATAGGACACGGGTGGCTCCATTGTTCTGTCAATCTTATGACTATTGGGCAAATATTTTGGGCTACATGTGCAACAAGTTGAAAACTGAAAATCTTTTACTAAGTAAAGGGCAAGAACTTTACAAATACTGAATAAATCCACAAGCAAACGCCAGGATGCATCAGTATACATGCTGACTAACATTTTTTTTAACTTTCAGGCCTGCTGGTCAAATACTTTTTTTACTATGTATGAACAAGTTGAAACTTGCAAATTTACAATAAGTCAAGGGCAATAACTCTAACAAAACTAAAAAAACCAATGCAAAATCCCAGGTACATAGCTTCACAGTGGTGTTGATAATTATCCCTGTAAAGTTGGTTGATTATAACTCAAACACTCAAGGAACAAGTAACACAACATAATGAAATGTTTTTTTTTATAAGTAAAGGGCGATAACTCTACAAATACTGATTAATTCCACAAGCGAAATCCAAGGTGCACAACTATACATGCTGACCAATATTCCTCTTGAGTTTAATGACTCTAGGTTAAATACATTTTGAGCTACGCTCTACACAAATTGAAAATGTTCACTAAGTCAAGGGCAGTTACTCTAACAAAGCATATAAATTCACAAGCCAAACCCCAGGTGCACAACTTCACATGCTGATCAACATTACTGTAAAGTTTCATGACTCTATCTCAAATATTTTTTGAGCTACATGTGCCACAAGTTGAAAATTGCATTTTTTTACTAAGTCAAGGACAATGACTCTACAAATACTAAATAAATCCATACGAAAATAAGCAGGTGCACAACTACACAAGCTGATCGGCATTCCTGTAAAGTTTCATGACCATAGGTCAAATACTTTTTGAGTTACGTGCAACACAAGTTGAAAATTGCAAACTTTTACTAAGTCAAGGTCAATAACTCTAACAAAACAGAATAAATCTACAAGCAAAATCCCAGGCGCATAGCTTCACAGTGATTTTGATCATTATTCCTGTAAAGTTGGTTGATTCTAACTCAAGCACTCAAGGAACAAATAACAAAACATAATGAAATGGTTTTTACTGAGTAAAGGGCAATAACTCTACAAAGACGGATTAAATCCACAAGCAAAACCCCAGGTGCACAGCTTCACATGCTGAGCAATATTCCTCTTAAGTTTTATGACTCTAGGTTAAATACATTTTGAGCTACACAAATTAAAAATTTTCACTTAGTCAAGGGCAATTACTCTAACAAAGCATATAAATTCATAAGCGAAACCCAAGGTGCACAACGTCACATGCTGATCAGCATTACTATAAAGTTTCATGACGCTATCTCAAATACTTTTTGAGCTACATGTGACACAAGTTGAAAATTACATTTTTTAACTAAGTTAAGGAAAATGAAAATAACTCTACAAATACTAAATAAATCCACATGAAAATAACCAGGTCCACAACTACACAAGCTGATCGACATTCCTGTAAAGTTTCATGACCCTAGGTAAATACTTTTTGAGCTACATGCGACACAATTTGAAAATTGCAAATTTTTATTAAGTCAAGGGCAATAACTCTGACAAAACAGAATACTAGTAAATCCACTAGCAAAACCCCAGGTGCACAGCTTCACATGCTGAGCAATATTCCTGTAAAGATTCATGACCTAGGTCAAATACTTTTTGAGCTACATGTACATGCGACACAAGTTGAAAATTGCAAATTTTTATTAAGTCAAGGGCAATAACTCTAAAAATACAAAATATATCCATTCGAAATTACCCAGGTGCAACACAGGTTTACATGCTGAGCAATATTCCTTAGGTTTCATGACTCTAGGTAAAATACTTTTTGAGATACGTGCGACACAAAATGAGAACGGACGGACGAATTGATGGACGGACAAGGGTAAATCTAAATACCCCCCCCCCCCTAAAGTTGGGGCACAAAAATTAATCTGCAGTCCATATTGTAATCATTTCACGACAGGTCACGATTTGCAAAAGTAGTCATGCAATTTATTCTTAATATACGATTTGACACTTACAATATATGTATATACATGTAGACAACGTAGCGTACAAATAACCTATACTGACCCGCAATCTTTTAATTTCAAACAAATTTTAAGTTGCACGCTATAATAAGGGTCGCATATCGGGTCGCATTGACAAATTGGGCGACTGGTCAAGTTGTTCCATTAATGAATCACGGTTCAATTGAGCAGCATCCATTGTGGGATAGAAGAAGACCCTAACGAAATCACTGTGTATACTCTGCAAGTATAGTTGTCGGACAGAACTAGCAGATATTATCAATTCTTGCGCTTAGGTTATATTAAATTCAATGGCCATCCTTCACTGAAAAAAGTAGCAATAATGAACAAGGGTAAGGGACCGAGCGCAGGTGTAAAGTGTTTAGCCTGGTCTGAACACCGAGACAAGTTCAATCTGACTAAAGTTCAGGTCTACTTATTTCTTTTATGTAGATCTAAGGACGGCAGTATATGTACCGCCTTCTTTATAAATCGGATTTCCCGATAAAGCTATTTTTAGCCATGCAACCAAACCAGGTTTCACATAGGCATTAGAAGAAGTTTCAAAATACCGTTACCTGTGGAAGTTAAACAATTTTTGTTTTATTTTTATTAGAAAAAAATTATTTAAAGTAATTTTAAACAAATTAACTTGAAATAATAAAGTCAATTTTATTGCAAGCAAGATAATAATGCCCAGCTTCTTACCTGTCCTCTAATATGGGACAACCCATGTTGTTCTGAATCGTGGAAAATACCCTACGCCAGTATTATTGGTTTCCCCCAGAGTTAAACTCAGGAAACCACATCCCTGCAAAATTATAAAGCTCGCCCAGATTGCCTGATGTACCAACGTCCACCAAAATATTTAGTATTTGGTCACGGTCAATCTAAATGTAGGAGCGTAGTGAGGCTAATTTATCAGATTTAGGCAAATTAATAGTGAAATGTTCGTTCTAGATATATATTTTAAGATCATGGAACCACCATCGGAACTCTAAATTGTGACATTCCATGAAAATTGCAAAATGCAGAAAGTAAATACATGTAGCTTTCCCCCTTTAGTCGCAAGTTATTCATAAGGTCAAACACGCAAAAATATTGCATTTCAATTAAATAATGAAATTTTAGACCCCGACAGTATCCAGTCGTCCATGTGTATGGTACCCAGTTGGGCGCCGAGTAGGAACAGTGTATTAACTATGAAACAGTTTTTTCTTGCATATCAGACTGGCGTTTCCGTGAGTTTTACCAATGCCGAAAATTTGTCTGGCATAGGGGGTGCCAGATGAGTCGCGTGCTGTACAATGGTACGCTTAGGATGACGTCATTTTACCGTTATGAATTAAGTTGTAATTCATACGCTGTTGTAAGAAAGTAGTTACGGTTGTAATGATATAAATGTCCATTGAAATTAACGATAAAGAATTTAAAATAAAATGGAATATGGTAGAATATGCAAGAAAAAATATCTGATGGGCGGGTCACGTCGGGACGGATATTCCGATCCGAACCGCAAAATATGACAGATATAATTTATCATAATATGAAATTAGGCAAAGCATATGGACGGGGAAGTTGGTTACAAAATCGTTCATTTTTCCGTTTTAAAGGTGTTATTCGGTATTTCATGCACCGCTTCCGTTTTCATTTAGAGCGCTTGGTGATTATTATTAATCCGAAAAGTTGCGATTGTTCCGTTATCGGAATACCCTGCCTATTATCATTGAGTTACATTGAAAATGGGGGCGCCCAACTAGAACTGACACTGAAAATTTCAGTGATAAATATAGAATTCTATATATTCTTTAATTGTTTTTTTATTTGATTTCCTTTTAAATATACATGTGTAGTATATAGCTTTCCGGTCACGGTCTTTGGCTTCCCCGTAACAGTTGACATTTCATCTGCTTATTTACAGGTTATACACAGTGACTTAAGAGCCAGGTTTCTGGGACTTATAAATTTGATTTGTTTTTATCTAGCATTGTAATCGTTAGCATGGCTCTGTGGATATTGTTAGCCGCGCTGTCCTTGTCTTGTACAGTAGAAGGGTCCTTCAAGAAAGGAACATGTGCTTATCCAGGGAATCTGTTGTGCGATGACTTCAATGTTCTGAACAACATGTCATGGTGGTAAGAAATTATTTGCTATTCGACACACAGCAGTGTATGTTTAATTTTGCTAGATGCACTCGTTAACCTATTCCAGTACTTCGTGGTCACTGATTCAGTTTCTTCCGATTCCGGCCACCTGCTTAGAAGTTTCGGAAAGGTTTCATGCATTGATGGTAGAAATTTTATTTCAATTCGTAATGACATTCTTAAAACAAAATACGGGATTGATCAATACGAGTATTATTAGCAATTACTTTCTAGTTTTATTGTATAAGATTCATTGGCTTTTTATTAAAATGGCGATTAAAAAAGGAAACTCGGTATTTACCGGAAAGATATTTCGTCTCTCATGCCATTTCCAAAAATCACAGTGTAAGATGATTATCGAAAATAAACCCTGAAACCAGGATTTGACCCGGTGAAATGTCTTTTTATAAGATATTTTTTTTGTTTAAAATTTTTGCTCAGTATTTCTTCCAAGTTTTGTTATATGTTTCGGTCTAAGGCGACCACTGATTTGGTTTTGAAGATTGAACATTGCATAATTCTTTGCTAGGAACTTTGAACATTTACTGTATTCCCATAAACTTTTGCGGAAAAATATTTCGCGTTTTTCATACGAATGGCGTTTTTGCGGAGACAAAATTTGTCTAATGAATAATTCTATTACGCAAGAGATGGCGTGAAGAGTGAAATTTCCTTTATAAATGATCATGATCACAGAGCGACTTATTTTCAAATTCTCTTTATTAAAGCCTTCATTTGGGGCCATTATCTTAACACCATACATTTACATATCTTGTTTATTTTCTAAAGGTATGATTGGCACATGGACCTGTCATTCTATCACGACAAAGTTGGACAACACTGTAATAGTACGCCTCACCTTGTGCACAAGCATATTCCCATGGTGAAGAAATTCAACAACCATACACAACTTACAATTCAAACTTGGGGAAGAATTCATCTTGCCCTCAACGAGCAGAATTCATGCAGACCACCGATATGACACCACAGAGTGCCGCTGCCTGCCGAAATAGAAAAAACTCCACACGGCGCAAAGCATGGTCAGTCAACGACACTGGGCCGACTTTAAATGATTCTGATGAAGTTTTCCGGCTTGTTGTCAGCGGGCTGCGAAGGACTTTACGTCATCCGCGGCACATATTACAGTGTGATGCTCATGACAATTTATCGTCCTACTAATGCAAGCAACTGCTAACCACAAGTACAAACAAGAAAATTGTGGCTCCACGGAGTTCGCATGCCCACAAACACATGATGAAAACAAACAACTGCATTTGATGAAGACCCTTTTGCCACAGCTGGAGGCTGCAGATTACGTATTCAGGTATATATTAAAATTTTTAACGCCTTTAGTAAAAAGTGATATATTTTATACAGTGAAGATGACAATTAAAATACACACGGCCTTTCTTTTATTTGGCCATGGGAAAATACATGATGTATATATCTCGATCAATCTTTATTTGTTCAGTTGTTGATTTAAATTCATTATGGAAGCATTAAGTGCTATTTGATTTTATTATGGTAACTAAAGGTACATTCATTAAGAATGTTGTTTATTTTTTATTTTAGGTATTCATGGTTTTCGGCTCGAATTCCTCCAAAACGTTACGACAGATATGTCACCCCGTCTGCCAGCTTGTTGAAGGCTAATTCTTCAGAGCTCACGATGATTGGTCAGTTCTACAACAGCTTTCACGTGCCACACCACAGCTCACATATAGTCGGTTGATCATTTATGTGAAATTGTGAAATAAAAATAAAAACGTTTAACCGTAGCTTTTTTCTTTGCAACTTTTTACCTTAGAACGCAAAATACATCATATTTTGCTGAAGTTTACATTTATCCCAAAACGAAAATTTACACATTTCCATGTGAACATTTAGAACAGAAATGACCAATGTTTTACAATCAGCGATACCAAAGTTCTTAAGTTGCATCAGTAGCGTTTTTAAGCATCTTTTGACAGGACATAAAGCTTCTATTCAACCCCATATTGTGATGTACAAAATTTAAATTTTGAAACATTTCATATATATTTATTCTTGTCTTCGATTATTATACCTCGGGTAAAGTCCTAAAACTTGAGGATTATTTTTGGTTGGGCTTTACGTCGCATTAACATTTTACAGTTTCACCTTTACTCAAAGTCACTGATGAAGAAGGACCTCATGTGCCCCTCATTACATTAATGCACGAATGGCTATAATATAGTATACACCAAAATAAATGTTAAACGAACAAAAGTTTAAGGCGACATGCGTTGTTAGTCAACACGGTCTTAGAATGTTTTTTTCGCTGTTTTTTTTCCTGCAAATCCGAGGATACAAACAAACTTCTACAGTTACGTGCGTTACGTGTTAAAAAAATAATGTTTTGTGAACGGTAGAGCCCCATGAAGCTTTTAGGGTAAAAGTCTAGATTGAACCGGGGTATAAGCTTGATAAAAAGATCCCTAGCTGAATAAAACTGACCTTGATATGTTGATTTGCATGCTGCCACTTCTAAAGGAAAATCCTGATAAAATCCATAATCAATGCGACTTTTGTTTTTTAATTTACTCTATTGTACATGTTACTTCCTGTAATTTCGAATCTTTTTTAGAATGTTTCTACATTCACAAGAAATCTAACACCACTGCGCTTTACACTAAAATAATGAATAATATTCGGCTATAAAGTGTGCAAATATCTGTTAAATATGCACGCTTTTCTTGCAAATTTTGCGGCAGAAAGTTATGAAATAATCCAACTGACTCAGTTATTCAATGACATACAAATTTATAATATTTTCGCAAAACGCGTGTCATTAACAGCGAATTATCCGACCAATGGAAAAACCATATCATTTAGAAAATTGCTTGAAATCAAAATTTAATAAATGGCTTACTCTTGACTAATCGTGTGTTTTTAAGTTGTTTTTTTCCAAAGTATAAAACTCACGATGAGTCAAGAGTAAGCCATTTATTATATTGTGATTTCAGATCTTTACAAACATTGATTTTAGAAATAATACACAATTCACGTGTCATCACTGCGTTCCTTATACATTCATTATTAAGTATAAATCACCTTCCGTTAAAGAGATTAAAAAAAAATTATTTATAAATTACGTTCTCAAAGAACTTGTGTTTCCACAAATAACAAAGCGAATATATTATTATTAGAATATACTAGTATTACGTAATCGGTAAAGCGGCATTTATCATCACATGGAAGACTTTTAAAAACACCATTATCATTACTGTATACATTTTTCATTTCTTGATCGGTCCTATTTTTACCAAAACTAGTTTAAGCTTTCAAAAGTCACAAACACTGTAAGGTCACACGGTGAGTCTCCAGCTTTACTGGTGGAAGAGGACCACAAATGCTCTTTGGTGCATTATTTCAAGCACTGGCGTTCGGGCACTTGAACTGAATAATCGACCTTCGGTCAGCTAGCTTGATAGCTTCCTCACACGAAAAAAATATCCTTAAGGATATTTAAACCAACAACGGTGAGCGGCAAATGATTTGAAGTCGACGGTAAACTAGCTTTACAGCTTCCTCACATGAAAGAATCAAAGGTCCCTGACAGGGACTCGAACCCAAATCGGTGAGAGGCCGGCGACTTTAACCACTCAAGGACCTAAACAGGTAGGTAATACTTAAAGCTCAGCCTAGTTCTGACACATATTTCTCTTAAACTTCACCTTTTCATGACAGATCGGTAATCTATTCATGCACATTTTTGATTTATTGTATTCAATCAATTTAAGGTTCGTATATATTCGGAAAACTTCGAAAATCTTAGCACACTTAGTCAGGTGCGAACAATTTTCAAGATATCAATATCGTTGCTCGAATCTCGAATAATATAAGTGCTGACCGAGTTAGGAATAACTGACCATCAGAGAAAGCAAGCCATCCGCTCAGTCAGCTAGTGCAGCTGAAAAGGTATCTTGTTGGTTGTGGCTCAGAAGAGATGAAAGGAGCTGGTACTAATTGTCAACACACAGTGGATTGATCCCCACTGTGACCCCACCATATAAGAGTGTTCTCGGTATAACGGGGCGAAACAATCGATGATGTATGGCACCTACGCTGACATTGTTGACAGTTCATTTTGCAGTACGAAACAGTGGTAATATATCGAAAATTCTCTGAGTTATACTTGGTATGGTATCCATCAGCTAGCATAACCACACGATTGATAATTCGTTTCGTGTTGAACTTACACTTTATTTGCTAAACAATCAGCAAAGCATGTGCATTTAGACACTTTACCCAATGACTGTTTTAAATATTTGTTTCCCTCACCGCTGTGGGTTCGAATCCCGACAGGGACTTTGGATGATTCTTCATGTGAGGAAGCTATCCAGCTAGCTTACGGAATGTCGGTGGTTCTACTCAGGTACCCGTTCGTGCCTGAAATAATGCACGGAAGGGCACATGAGGTCTTTCTCCAGCAGTAAAGCTTGAACGTCGCGATATGACCTATACTGTGTCGATGTAACGTAACCCCGCCCGCCCCCTTCTCCCGAAAAAATATTTGTATGAATTAATTTTTCATGCTTAATCAGCTGTAAAACACAGCTATAACGTATCTACGTTTCTACTAAGTAATTATGGGTTCGTGGGTGTCCTACTCTTGTCGAGACCAATTTTCTCAAATGACGTCAGCTCAGGATAGTACCTGGAAGCGGATTCGAAAATGATTAATATGAGTTGCAAAATTAGTTTATTACAAAACATTTTTTTAACTAAAACAATAAATTTCTAGTTATTTTTGTATTTTATCTATGAATAAACAGTCTAAATTTAGGAACTTTCCAACAAGTCACCGATATGTTGAAGAGATGTTATTTTCCTTGGGTTATAATTGACATTTAAACAATTTTCTTCCGGCGCGGAAACATGCAAAATTCACTAAAACCGAATTTTACCGATTGCTAAATATTCAGAATATTCAACGAATGTTGCGAAATTTACTGAAATAGGTGCATTTTCTTTTATGGCAGGACTTGTCATTAACATAAATGACTTTCCTTAATAAAAGACTGCAAGGTACTGTTAATTTTATTTATTTCAATTTTTAAATCCCCTAGAATGGATAGAGGGTTTGGTGAAATGTTTCGAAATGTTGACCAATATTTTTATCGAAACTAAAACTAGCCGTTCAAATGCTTTGTTGATTTGATGGTGCGTCAAAAAAGATATATAAAATAATGCACTTTAGAATATTTACAGCAATTTTAAAAGTAACACATCTTCTATAAATTGTGCATTGCTTGACATGATTCGGACCTGATTTGCAAACTTCATACAGTTAATTTAATTTTACTAGGCGATAAGACTTCATTTATGCATTCCAGACCAGTTTTATAAAGTTCAACGTTAGGGTTCAAACGAAATCTGTACTGACATCTATTTAAATTGTAAATGATTGATTTTAAGTTCGTTTCTATACTTAGATTGGTCACAATGTCAGTGCGGAAAGCAATGGGATGTTTAAAAAGGCCGAGCACATATATGAATATTTCTTAATTCTTTATTAAAGGCCTATAATGCCTCAGAAAAAAAACACTTTTATTTTCATTTTCTCAAAGGCTTTTTATATTTGAAGTACTTTTATAGTTTTCAAAATGTTTCACATTGGCCAAACATTCTTTTTCTTCTGTTCTTTTTTTAGTCCAATAATGTTGTTTATTTTCACTGTTTCAATGACTAATAATTTCACATTTCACGCATTTTTCTTCAAGTAACAGGCATATGTCATGCTCTTTAAATATTATTTAAAAGTTATTAAACTCGTGCCTCTCCCAAAAAATCTTATTCGTTTTTTTGTGGCATAATGTTTCTTTTAACGGAGCTCTTGAGATTAAATTAGAGTAAAAAAATTAAAATGAAATTGGTCAACATTTCAAAATGAGTCTGGCTAAACTGGTACTAAAATAAAAACACATCTTGCAACATTTTCAATATTGAGGTTTTGAACGACCTTTACCTGAATATCCAATTTCAGATATTGTTTCTGAAACAGATTTTTTTCTACATTTTAAACATTATCATTAGTTTGTTCGTTCGTTGTCTGAAATTGCAAGCAATTCAAAATATAAAATACTGGATATGAGAACATGTTTTCGTAATGAATTTTTTTACTTTATTTAAACATGTTTCAGTGTACAGCTTACTAGAAGATTGTTCATTAAAATCGGGGAAAAGTTCCTATAGGATAAAATATAACAAATATAATGTTTTCATTGCTCTTGCTTTAATTTCTTCTCTTGACAAAACTTTCTAGTACAAAGATATTTGTATTATATCTTGAAGCATGAAAAAAGGTAGATTCCATAGTTACAAAGGGGTTAGACCGGGTTAGCCAAGAACGCTTGCATACAGAACTTCAAGGAGAGGCCTATTTTAATAAAAGGAATGGCATATGCGTCGTCAGCGATATTACGGTTTGTTATGAAAAAATGAGGACATGCTGACATTTACCTCAAGACGGTGGTGCACCAAGACGTCGTTTTTGACCCCCGCCCAGGTTAAAATCTAATGAAGTGCATTAATTTGTACAATCCTCGTAGTTCTTAATGATAATAAAATGATAACGAAACCACTGTGCATACTCTGCAATTTAATTTAAATGCATCGCATACAGTTCGGTTCGGTCAACTTGATGTTCAAACTTAATATATCTAACTTTATTTATACATTCTTCTTTAAAAATCTATTGTTATAAAATTAGGCTCCATCTGTGAAAACTGTTTAGAATTCTCTATGTAACGGGCGGACATCAAATGCTATATCTGATGAATGAAGCAGCAAATTCGACTTACATATTATAAGAGCTATAGAGCTATCAAATGCATCATCCGGGAAGTCAATAGTTGCCTCTAGCCGACTTAACCAGACGATATAATTTTCCTACATTCGGTGTTGTTCAACATGCAGGAAGGCGAACCCGCGAACCTACGTGTACAAAGTGCACTGCAGAAGCACAAATTAAAGTTGTGCCTTCATGCCTTTCTGTTTAAGTATTAAATGGATTTTTATTTTAAATAACGAGTATTAACCCCTATAAGCAAGGTACTACTAACGGTCGCTACTTTTAATTACCTCATATACTGTCCAAAATTTCTACTGATTTTTCCTATGAAGTTTTTATTTCTTTATAAGATATTGACGTAATATGTACCATGATTCGTGCTTAGTTCGTTTTGTCTGAAAGTCTGAAAGGCACGTTGGTATGTTACCCTGAACATGTGACGTGTCAACATATAATTAATTAAAGAATTACATATCAATTAAATACTATCTAGTCGCACACGGTACAAAATCGTACATCGAGGTTACATACAGGTTATACACAGTGATTTGAGTTTCAATATAAAGCTTGTTTTAAACTAACATTGTCAAAATCAACATGGCTCTGTGGGTACTGTTAGCCTTAGTGTCTCTGTCTTGTAAAATAGAAGGATCCTTCAAGAAAGGAACGTGTGCTTATCCAGGAAACCTGCTGTGTGATGACTTCAAAGTTCTTAACAACATGTCGTGGTGGTAAGAAATTATTTGAAACTGATACAGTTTAAGTGAAATAATGCTTAACAGTGTTAACAGTACTTCTTGGGCATTGAATCAAAAAAAAAAAAAAAAAAAAAAAAAAAAAAAGAAAAATAGAGAACAAAAAGTTCTAAAAAACGTTCAAAACAGCGATGTTGAAAATGTTGCGAGATCGATTGATTAAGTTTATGGAAGGTCCTGAAAAAGGCAAGCTTCCGACCAATTTCCACAAGCACCGGTTTAGGCCGAATTCAACATTTTACACGGACGGTATTTTCTTTAAATTAAGGACATCCACAGATGTGTTGCCGGTTGTTATATTTTCAGGCTCTACGCGAGTGATCAGTGATTACTATACGTTTCGTTTAAAGTATTTTATCCTGCTTAGGCAGATACTAAGGACACAAGTGATATTGCACTTTCCATACCCCTTATGAACAGACTTAATCAAACCTAAAATAAAAGTTTTACCAGAATATTTGTTTATCAGTACCTAAAAAATCTTTTTGTTATCTTAAAAAGGTATGATTGGAGTATGGACTTATCATTCTATTATGACAAAGTAGGACAGCACTGTAATGGTACCAATCGTCTTGTACCCAAGCATGTTCCCATGGTGAAGAAATACAACAATCACACCAATCTTACAATCCAAACCTGGGGAAAGTTTGTATTAGGCTTCAACGAGCCAGATCGTGAAGCCCATGGCAATATGACACCCCAGCAGGCTGCCGATGCCTGGCCAGAGATAGAGAAGAACTCACACGGGGCCAAGCTTGTCAGTCCTGCTGCTGGCGGAAAATTTAAATGGTACGAAGAATTTTTCCGGCTTTGTAACGGCTGCAGGATCGACTTCCTCGCAGCACATATGTACAACTGCGATGCTAATGCAATTATGTCGTACTTGCAACAACTGTTTCACAGATACAACAAGAAAATTTGGCTCACGGAATTTGCATGTCCACAAACACATGATGAAAAAAAACAGCTGCATTTGATGAAGACCCTTTTGCCACAGCTGGAAGCTGCAGATTACGTATTCAGGTCTGTAAAATTAAACACTTTTCAGACAAAATTGACATTTGATTGTAACAGAAACACGGTTGGGTATGAGTGAGGTTTGGTACACAACTAACTCCCATTAAGTACTTGTGTTGCTGATCGTTGTCCCTATATGATCCTAAGATAAATAGAATATAGTTAAATAGAATCCATAAAGAACACCCCCAAAGCGGCAAAATTGAAAATGTTGCAGGTCTGTCCACGTCCTATGGCACCGGTTTAAAACAGTTTTATTCAACATTTAATATAAAATAGTAAACATTTGAATAAAGAAACATCTGCAAATGTTCATACATCGGTTATAATTTTATGTCTTGTTTTTTTTTCTTCATGCTGCTGTGGATGGTAACACTTTATGCGTCCCTTCTTGTTTTATCGTCATAAATAATTAAACCCTTTCTCCTGTTGTTTTTTTTCTTCAAAATTTGCACCCGGCCCTTCCCTTCCCTGTCTGGCCCCTTTCCAGACATCCTTAGCCTTTATCTTTGCATTTAAGTTAATTGCTTTCTTATATGTCTTTATCGGTTTCTCTGATTTTCTTTATTAGATTCTTTAAGCCCTCTCTCTCCGCCGGTTTCTATGATTTACTTTATTGTTTAAGTTATAATATCGCCACATCCGTGCCTTGACTTTGTGCCCTTTCCTGTTTTTTTTGTTTGGTGTCCTGCTGGGATCTTTGCTGGTGGTCCTGTATTGCTGAATTTATTTAGGGATAGGTTCATTGAATGCCAACCTTGTTATTTTATTGGCTACGTAACACCGGTTTGGATGTAGGAATTGAAAGCGAAAAACGCTGGCTTTAGTGGTTAGTTTGTTATCATAAAAAAATAAAAATAAAAGTGTAATAGCCAATAAACACTGTTTACATTGATATTCATATCATACTTATAACAAGCAACGTATTGAGGTAAGAATAATTATTCTTCTTTTGATAGACCTACGTTCAAGTGTATATGCATATTCATGTAAATCCTTTTGTTCATTTCATTTTAGGTATTCGTGGTTCTCGGCTCGAATTCCTCAAAAGCGCTACGACAGCTATGTTACCCCGTCTGCAAGCTTGTTACAACCCAATTCGTCAGAGCTCACAATGATTGGTCAGTTCTACAACAGCTTCCACGTGCAACATGATTACTCACATATGATTGGTTAATCACACATGTGAAATTGTGAAATAAAAATGTATGAACCTTACCAATTCTAACTTTGTTACGTTTTTGTTGGTGCTATAACGATCATTAAAAAAAATGCTGGAAATATTTTGTTCTAAATTTGTTCGTTTGATTCGATTTTAATTATTTTTGCAAAATATGATAACAAAGATTAACTCAATACACGCATCGCCAAACAACATCCGAGCAGACGTTAAATGTTGAATGATGAGCGCAACTTCTCGGCAATTTCCGAAAAACGTCGAACACAATTATAGTAAAAATACACAGAACGGATACGGTATTTCGGTCTAACCTTCCCTAAGAAACTAAACATGTAAGCAAATTAATATAGTAATTTAGTCTAGGAATTAGACTAGATTCATAGCAATATATCGAATAAAATAAGTTATTTTACAGATGAAAATGTAATTATTTTTATTATGTTTGTAGAATACGAAAGAACAAAATGTCTACCTTTTGAATAAAATATTTAGGAAAATTGGACTAGTTTTAACCATAGGAACTCTGGAACAGGACCGCATATTGCGGCGCATAAATCCGAATCCGTACCGGCTTTACATTTTGTTTGTCCGACCTTTGAATATCTTTTCATATTATGCGAGCGGATGGTCTTTAATTATCTTATCTCAATTTAATATAATCTGCTAATTTAAAAATTAGTCAATTTAAAGTATATTGAAAAAAGAAAAGGAGTGACATCCGCCATTTACCGCAACGTTCGGCGTAAGTTATCCCCTTGAATATGCTTGATTTTTGTTTTAACTTTTCTAGTAATGAATACTAGATGAGTGCCTAAAATATTTATCTATGGATCATGTTTTAATATTCCTTTTTTCAGTTAGGCAAAATCAGTTGGACCATATTACTAATGTGTCTGTTAACAAATCAAAACACGAATACGCCCGTAATAATGAGGCGTATACATGTCAACACGTGTAAACAATAAACCGTGAACGTTATATACGGACGATACCTGATACTAGTAGTTGACAAAAATAACAAAAAAAGTTAATAAAAAAAAGTAATCAATTGTAGCCAAAGGTAAAAACTCATGCTGAAAACGTTGCGGCGAATGGCGGATGTCACTCCTTGTCTTTTTTTTATAATACCGTAAAATTTGACCAGTTTTAAAAGAGACAGACTGGGTTCAATTGATAATAATTTTTGAGGCCAAATCTCGGATAATACTAAAAGATATTTAGTTGTAGCAGAAACGTTTTTAAAAACCGTTACACGATCGAAAATATGCGCCGCAATCTGCGGTCCGGTTCTCGAGTTCCTATGGTTTTAACCACGCGTACATTGCACTAGTCTGCGTCTGTTTCTCACACTGTAGCAGGCCTTTTCCCCCTATCCCACGGGTCCGAATATGGGCCCCACCACATCCAAATTATGTTTTTTTTCCAATCCAAAAAAAAAAAAAAATTCCAATTAAGAAGTCGGCATTTTGAAAGAAAAAGTACCACATTTTCAATTTTGATGTCGCGAAATAGCGTTACCGAATGTATTCATGTTTTGTGAATAAAAAAGGATTTTAATTAATATCAACTGAACATTTGTACACATTTAAGCCTGTCCTTGTATTTTTGATATGACAGAAAAAGCTGGACAATTTAAGTAAGATTTATCTAGATTTTTTTAACAATTGTAACATCTTGAATCCTAGCATATTTTCCCAAATTGGCAAATTTCACAATAATATTTTTCTCCCAAGTTTGATATTTTACGACAAAAATTTCCAAAATTTACATAGATCTAGAGGGAAAAAAGACTGCCAGGTAGCTTGGGTCTTATCAAGATAATGGATTTTTTAATTTCTTAAGACCCTCTCTCTCCGAGTCCATTGACAGTTTCTGAGACTGTCACAGACTTCCAGGTATCTATGTGCCAGTCAAGATAATAATATTTTTTACTTCTGCAGAACCCCCCTTCCCCCACAAAGTCCATTTGACGACTGTTTCTGATATCCTCGTAGACTTTGGAGAAATTGTGTTGACAATCGATTATGTATCATTTGCAAAAACTATTACTTACCCTTTTACGCTTGCATGTCCCCTAAAAAGGTCAAATCTTAGGTTTTGACTTATTGTCAGGTTTATTTTTCTTATTTCGTAAGCGAAGTCATCTTTTTAGGGGAAATCTTAGGGCTAAAAAAGACAAATTTCAGAAACAGAAATGTCATGTTCTTTTCTCTTTTTTTGCATACCACATCCGTAAAAAAGGCCAATCTTTTCCCACTTTTGTACTACTATTTTTCATGATAACGTGTCATCTATGTGTTCAAGTAGGTCGCTCCTGCCCGCCAAGCTCAATTGAAAATTCCGGATGAGTAACGCAATTCAGAGGTCGCTAATTTGTTCTTCTTTCTCCGTTACTATTGATCTCGGTTTGATTGTCATTTAGCCGTGTCATGACAAAACCAACATAATGCGCATCCGCGCAGTCTGATCAGGATCCATGCTGTTCGCTTACAAACCTTATAACAAGTAGAGAAACTGATAGCGGACAGCATGGATCCTGATCAGACTGCGCGGATCCGCAGGCTTGTCTGGATCCATGCTGGTCGCAAACCCATTATGTTGGTTTCTGTCATGACGCGGCTCATTTGTCTTTCGCCAATGATTAAAATATTTTGTTGGATTTGTGGTCACTTGTGGAACTGTAGACAAGTTGGAAATAACTGGTCAGGTATCCAGGAAAACTGGTGAGGTGGAATGACCGCCGAGATATCACAATAAATTTTTTTTAAACTTTGAGTAAATAACTTTTTTCTGTTAATTAGTCTCTGATTATTGATAACACACGTGCCATTCGTTGCTTTTTAAGTACAAGTATGTTTATGCTAGTTGCTTATTATGTAAATGTATTAATTCCGTGCCATTAGTAGGGATTGTATTAAATCGCTGATGTACAAATCGTGAACCAATCATAATGTGTTCATTGACTACAAATGTGTCTGTTAAAAGTACACGTAATGCTGGTTGTAGACTTGCATGTGTAAAGACAACTCACCTACATGATTCAAGCTTGTCGCACACAATATTATTTTATTTAACATAACTTGTATTTGAGATGCTAACATTTTTAATTGAAAGTTTTAGGAGCATTTAATGTACGAAGAACAAATAATGAATAAGGGTTTAAGATGGCTGTAGATTTATATGCATTAGTTCTTGCTACCAATATTTTGTTGTAAATAAAATAACGCAAGCCGATAGATGTAAAACAAGGTGTATTAATATACGGGAAGGCGGAAGGCTACATTTTTAACAATGCTACATTAATATTGTATCTATTTTGAAATGACAAAGTAGTTGTATGGATCGTGCGTTCCAATTCCATTGCCACGGATAACGTGAACAAAAGTCGGTTCCGTATCGCAGTCTTGGTACACCATCTGTAAAGTTAAACATTCATAGTTTGAACGCATTAAGCACCATCACAGATCATGACACCAAATAATTAGATAGGTTTTTTACAGGAACTCTTCGGATGAATATGGAACGAAACATAAATTACCCTCAAAATTGCCACTTCGTATACCTTTTTTTGTCTGCCCGCGATAGCAAATTAATGACGTAACGAATCACGTGATAGGCATCAATTTTCAAAACATGTGGAGAAAACTACTTTATACGGAATATATATTTTACTTGCGTTGAAAACGCATAAGATTTTCTTATTTTCCAGCAGAACTTAGATGCATCTGGGTTTAGCTAAACGAAGCCATTTTCCTCCAACCTACTTACCGTTCTCTTCAGTTTATACTGGGAATGATAGCTTTATGAATATACGCATGCTGAACAACCAGATACAGATATATGTTGATATATTTTTTTAAAGCTTACCAATCAACGATCAATTTTTATCAAAAGGTATGTTTGCTTTGGTTTACATCAACACAGTAGTGGTCATATGGCGAATTTCTAGTTTCCGGTGGAAAGAGACCTCATGTGCCACTCTGTGCATTGTTTCATGCACGAGTGGGTACCTCGGATGCCCTGAAGCTAGGTGGATAGCTTCCTTACATGAAAGAATTCAAAGTCCCTTGCGGGACTCGACCTAAAACGGTAAGGTAAGTGGTTTGAAGACAACCTACCCGCACGTTCACGAATGCACCGTTATTTTATGGTACGTTTCTATTAAAAAGAATGCATACTGATCTTTGAAACTATAATGGCTATGTTATCTCGATCTTTTTCGAGCCATTACCATCTATGATTGTACATAAACCAAGTGAAAACCTCTAAATAAAGGGACAAAGGAAACATACATTTAGTTACTATGTACGGTAACAAAATTGTATTATGATTACTTATATTGAAATTTTGAAAGTAACATTAATATTCACCTTAAATCCGTTACCAAGACAACCTACAAATATTCCCGATCTGCCCCAATTCAGTCCTGTATTTCCACTGGATATTGAAGCAATCGGTGTGTAAGAGGGAAGCGATGAACATATAGACATCACCTGTATAAAACGTGAACGATTTACACCATTTTATTTTCATTTTTTATCCTGTTGGATAGTTGTTTCAAAATTGAATCCGAGTGTTTACTTTTTTATCAATTTATAGTTATTTTATTAATTTATAGTTATTTTATCAATTTATAGTTATTTTATCAATGTATAGTTTTATTTATCAATTTATAGTTATTTTATCAATAACAGCTCATGATGAAAAATCTACCTGAATAACCTTTGCGCTAGTGTTACTAACTATATGATGGTAGACAAACCCCGAATTAAATTGAATAAAAATGTAAAATCTATTGTATTGAAGAAGCTCCTCGTAATTGTATTTAAGCGTGGATATCTTTGGTAGTCTGTAGTATTAAATAAACTTCTTAGTCAACGCGGTAATCATAAAAACGGCATTTTCTAACAAAAAGCGAAAAATAAATGATATGAACTATTAGAAACCAAGTGTCTACATTATTCCTGTAACTAAATAACTTACATTTTCGCCTGTCTTCCAGGCACTTGTTGGCCCAGCATCACAATTTGCCATAACTAATGCCTCGTGCGACGTCTTATTGCCAGAGGAACATTGTCGGGCATCTGCATGGGATTCGTATTTAGAGCTTGCAACGTCAGAAATAATTTCATACTTTTTACATGAAGGAAAAGCTGAAATGTAAACAGATCAATCTCTTTTAAATAATGTGTCTTTATTTAATTGTACAGTCATTTTAAACCATCATTTACGTTTCAACAATATAAAAAAACATAATTTTTACAACATCGGTCCATCTAATTCATCAAAACAAGCACATGTTTATCTGTAATATGAAGGCTTCATAACCTCTGATCCTCTAAATCAAAATTCCTTTTTTATTTAATTCCTCCCTCCCATTATCATCGTTTAGGGCACAGGAATTCTGTTTATTGGAGATTTTAATGCCTATTTCGGTGGTGGGGGTCATAATAGAGGTGTTGCAGTTTTAAACTTATCTCTTTTTTACCAAAGTAAATAAAACCAAGTATGCGATTTTCAACTACATTCTTTTATGTCACTGCCGGCATGGGGATTTTATATGAAGAAAAATATTTTTCTTTTGGCTTGTTAGAAGTGTAATGAAAGGAACGGTTTTTGTTAATGGTAAATGAGTTTGATATTCCAAATTTCATACACAGGTTATCATACATAATTATCATTTATCGCTGCAACCACGCACAAACCATCGTTGCCGTAGCCTACCAAACACAGGTTTCTCACCCGAATGCTTCCATGTGTGCCGAAGTACAACACACCTCCAACGAAGCGTTTGTTCTCACGGAATGCGATGTACCGCATACATCAAGCACATGGAAACAAGGAGTTAATGTGTGTTACAATCTTTATTTCATTCACAAATGTTTAATTCTTCACCCTTTTGCAAATGATTTAAACGGACTTAACTGAATTCAACAAATATTTCATTAAAAATCTATTTATTTTATGAATTGCTTTTGAAATACAATGTTAATTTACTAAGAAGGCAACTTCTTTCAGAAATTCCGCCCTAACAATTTTTTTTGTAACATAGTCAAATTTAAATCTAAAATAGACCCCATGGTATATTGCAACTTTATAAAATTAAGACCAAGTCAATTTGTTTGTTTTTTATTGTAATATCAAGCTACCGTCAAACCGTTATTTTTTTGTTATGTCTAGGTTATGTCACGTTGTGCAAGCTCGAATCCTTTACCTGACAATACACCTATAGCAAGCTTTGACCATGGAATTTATTCTTCAGTTGGTAGTCTCTCTGGGGTATTTCTAGGATGTACAAGTGATGGGTTCAAGGTAAGCATAGACCAACAGTTCGCATTCATTACACTTTCTTCGTCAAGTTCCATGTAAGTTCGTATAAAATCATCATATTCAGTAAGTTATATGTAAGTTATATCTAATTTTCTCGTATGTTTATAGCTCACCTGAGGACACTATCCTTAAGGTTAGCTTTTTGTGATGGCCCATTGTCCGTCGTCCATGCGTCCGTGCATCATTAATTTCTTTAAAGAACTTCTCTTCCTAAAACACTTGGACAAATTTGTTGAACAATTAAAAAAAATCTTAAAATCTTCTTGTCAAAAACCACAAGGTGTAGAGCCTTGATATTTGGTATGTAACATGATCTAGTGGTCCTCTACAAAGATTGTTCAAATTATGCCCCGCCCCTAGGGTCAAAAGGGGCCAGGGCGCTCATCAGTTTATAGGGAAATCTTAGAAAATATGCTTGTCAAAATCCACAAGACCTAGAGCCTTGATATTTGGTGTAACTTGATCTGGTAGTTCTCTACAACAGATTGTTCAAATTATGCCCCTAGGGTCAAAATTGGTTTTATATAAAGTTAAGTATGGGAATATTCAAAATTTTCGTGTCAAAATCCACAAGGTCCTCTACAAAGATTGTTCATATTATGCTCCTGGGATAAAAAGGGGGCCCGCTAGGAGGCTCCTCAATTTTATAAAAGGCTATTTAGGGAAATCTTAAAAAGTCTGCTTGTCAAAATCCACAAGGTGTAGAGCCTTGATATTTAGTACATAACATGATCTAGTTACCTCCTACAAAGATTTTTTAAATTATGCCCCTAGGACGAAAAGGGGCCCCGCCAGTCTGCTTATCGATTTTAAAAAAGAATCATTAAAAATATTTTTATCAAAATCCACATGGTCTAGAGCCTTGATATTTGGTATGTAACATGATCTAGTGGTCCTTTACAAAGACTTTCCAAATTATGCCCTTAGGGTTAAAAGCAGCCCCTCCAGAGAGTCATCAATATTTAATACTTTGAGTTATATAGGCCTAGAGCTTTGATTTTTGGTTTATAAACATCACCTAGTGATCCTTTGTGAAGATTGTTCAAAGTATCACCCTGGGATCAAATGGGGCACACTAGGGGCTTAATTAGTTTCATTTAGAGTACTTTATGAAAATCTTAAAAATTCTTCTTCTCAAAAATCACTAGACCTAGTGCTTTGATATTTGGTTTGTAAGGTGACTAAGGTCATCTAGCTGTCATCTAATATCAGAAAAAAACACACCTTAAAACAACATCTAAACCACTGGTTCAAAAATTGTTCAGATTAATCTGTCCCTTATTTTCAAATTGTGCTTCTGGGTTGAAAGGGTTCCACTGTGAGCTTTGACCTATTTCTCAGGTGAGCGATGCAGAGTCCTCTGGACTCTCTTGTTTTATTTAAAGGTGGTATCGTTTATGGTCTGATTTTATTTAGGTTGTGTCTATAGAGTACAATTAATAACCTCTAGATTTTCAATATTAACTTTTTATTAAAGCCTTGTTGCAAAACAAAATTTATAAAATGGCAGTTATACTGTCGAGTTCATGTAGTCTGTCATCTGTCATATGAGGAAACATTTTCGTTACGCCTAAAGATATTTTACTGATGATCCCTGTGTTAAGAGAACTTTGTTTAGAACTTTAATAACTTTGTTACACTTTATTTTTATTATTTCATTATTGTACACAAGTTACTTTTTAATAAAATTAATATGGTTATAGTGGGCGTCCATGCAGTAACATTTTGTCGATCACTGAAGCATAATATATTACGTTCATTAACAAAATAATACATAAAGGCAACTATTCTAATAAAAGATTGTTTCACTTTTTAGTAAGAACTCCGAAACACACAATTATGTAAATCAACAGATATTATGTAATAGTTATAACATAATGGGTAAAAATGTATTTATTGAAGGAAACTGGGGCGAGAAGAAGCGAGTGAACCTTTTCTGAAAGTAATTATTTGTTCAATATGTACATTGTAAACATAACCATCATTTACAATGGCAGGAGTAATGTTTCGCAACAATAACAAGAAATGTTACATTGCATCGGTTGATTGTCCTAATTTTATAACAGTTGCCTTTACTTGTTGAGGGGTTGCCTATACGGAGGTCGAGGCATCAAAACTGCAGCCACATTTTAACCCTACTTGATCGTAAGATACTATTAAAGGGGTTCGAAATACTACAGTCTATGCATTCCTTAGCTCTAGCAGGTGAGCTGGTTTTTACCCTTGGTGATGCTTGGTATCAATCGAGGTTAGCCAAAATCACCTTTCCTGTTTCGGCGCCATATTACGACCATGGTGCGCCGTAAAAAAAAACAAGAACAAAAAAAATTAAAAAAAACAACAACAAAAAAAACAAAAATTAAAAAAACAACTAAAAATGTGTCCATAGGACACGGGTGCCCCCATCACGCCACTGTTCTGTCAATCTTATGACTCTAGGTCAAATATTTTTTGAAAACTAAAAATCTTTTACTAAGTAAAGGGCAAGAACTTTACAAATACTGAATAAATCCACAAGCAAACCCCTTAGGTGTATAAGTACACATGCTGACCAACATTCTTGTAAACTTTCAGGCCTACAAGTGAAATACTCTTTGAGCTATGCATGAACAAGTTGAAAATTGCAAATTTATACTACTGTAAGTCAAGGGCAATAACTCTTACAAAACTGAAAAAAATCCACATGCAAAGTCCTAAGGTTCATAGCTTCACAGTGATGTGAATCATTATTCCTGTAATTTAGTGATGTTGATCATTATTCCTGTAAAGTTGGTTGATTCTAACTCAAGCACTCAAGGAACAAATAACAACATAATGAATACTGGATAAATCCACAAGCGAAACCCCAGGTGCAAAACTAAATATTCTGAGCAACCTTCCCGTAAGGTTAAATGACTTTATGTCAAATCCTTTTTGAGTTACATTCGACACAAGTTGAAAATTGCAAAAATTTTCTAAGTCAAAGGGCAATAACTCCTAAATATACTAAATAAATCCAGACGAACATTACCCAGGTACAAAACTACCACATGCTGATCCAACATTCCTGTAAAGTTTCATGACTCTTGGTCAAATACTTTTTGAGTTACATGCGACACAATTTGAAAATTGCAAAATTTTACTATGTCAAGGGCAATAACTCTAAAAATACTAAAAATATCCAGACGAAAATACCCAGGTGCACAATTACACATACTGATCAACATTCCTGTCAAGTTTCATGACTCTCGGTCAAATACTTCTTGAGTTACGTGCGACACAAAAGAGATTGCGTTCCAAACATGTGGACAGTCACCTGAAATAACCGAACTTCTGCAGGGTCATCACTTTAACCAAAATCCTGTCAATTATTTTACAATATCTTAGATATCTGAAATGAATAAAGATTGAAATAAAAAAGAAACCATAGCAAAAATTTACCTTTTTACATTTTTTTCCGTTTACAGTAAACGTTTGTTGATAATTCAACATCGGGGTTAAGACAGATAACTCTGAAGAGAAGTAGAATAAAACTCTGATTTCTTTAGATTATTTTCCTTCATTAATAATGCATTACGCAAAGTATACATTTTGACTGAAAGAACTGCGCAGAATCTTTTTTCACGGTTTCTATAGGTAGGGGTGTTCAATTAAAAACGACAGATGGTTTTAAAATGTTATATCTTTCTTATCAATTCCAAACAACATTTCAGAAACACATTAAGATAATGTCCGTAGGTATTCTATACGGTCACATGACAGAACTTATGTTTTCTGACAAATGGGATGAAATATTTAATGTGCATCAAAGGAAACCATTAGTAAAATTGAGAACTGTCAAAGACATTTTATGATTAAATCTAATAATTATTGCTATACAATCTCTTTGTAAACAAAGTAGATAGGTTATGTTTTAAGCTCTAAACACTAAAGGTGGACGCAATATGAAAGTAAAGTCGCATTAGAAAAACAACACTGGCAGTGTTTTTAAGAACGGACCGAGTTAACTGGACACGTTATAGGCAATGCATCTTTCCATACATAGTTTGAATTCCTTTATCAAAATCAGACACATATTCAGTAAGAATGTCATAGATTTCAATAAACTTATTCTCACGTGACCTTTTTATCGTGATGTGAAGTGATGTAGTTTTATCTATCTGTGAGTCAAAACGTGCAATCGGAACACCTCGGGCGACTTTAAGAATTCTACGAACTTGACGGAGATTGCCGAGTTGTTACGACTGTCAAAACGTGTATCAACAATCTAAAACATCGGCACTTTCCGTATACTTCGAATAAGGGCCTCATACGTGAAATACGAATACACCAATGTAATATCAACAAGAGCACCACTAGGCGGAGCCCGAAAGTGTTTTTATTTATTTTTTTAGTAAGGATGAAGCAGTTGTAAGACATGGGAATTAAATAAAGTATTACCTCCTCCAAATAGCAATCTGAAGTTTGAATATTGTTGGCCAAATGGAACCTTAGTTATGCTCCGGAAACGTAGAGGCGGCACAATGAAACCCTGCAAAACGCGTTAGAACTAGAAATGTGGTCACGGGTGCCCCCCCCACTCCACTGTTTTGTCAATCTTATGACTATAGGGCAAATATTTTTGGGCTACATGTGCAACAAGTTGAAAACTGAAAATCTTTTACTAAGTAAAGGGCAAGAACTTTACAAATACTGAATAAATCCACAAGCAAACGCCAGGATGCATCAGTATACATGCTGACCAACATTCTTGTAAACTTTCAGGCCTGCTGGTCAAATACATTTTGGACTATGTATGAACAAGTTGAAAAGTGCAAATTTACAATAAGTAAAGGGCAATAATTCTATTAAAACTTAAAAAACCAATGCAAATCCCAGGTGCATAGCTTCACAGTGATGTCGATCATTATTCCTGTAAAGTTGGTTGATTCTATCTCAAGCACACAAGGAACAAATATCAAAACATAATGAAATGGTTTTTACTGAGTAAAGGGCAATAACTCTACAAAGACTGATTAAATCGACAAGCAAAACCCAAGGTGCACAACTACACATGCTGACCAATATTCCTCTTAAGTTTAATGACTCTAGGTTAAATACATTTTGAGCTACGCTCTACACAAATTGAAAATTTTCACTTAGTCAAGGGCAATTACTCTAACAAAGCATATAAATTCATAAGTGAAACCCCAGGTGCACAACTTCACATGCTAATCAACAGTACTGTAAAGTTTCATGACGATATCTCAAATACTTTTTGAGCTACATGTGATACAAGTTGAAAATTGCATTTTTTAAAACTAAGTTAAGGAAAATGAAAATAACTCTACAAATACTAAATAAATCCACACGAAAATAACCAGGTCCACAACTACACTAAGTCAATGGCAATAACTCTAAAAATACTAAATATATCCATTCGAAATTACCCAGGTGCCACACAGGTTCACATGCTGAGCAATATTCCTGTAGGTTTCATGACTCTAGGTAAACTACTTTTTGAGATACGTGCGACAGAAAATGAGAACGGACGGACGAATTGACGGACGGACAAGGGTAAATCTAAATGCCCCCCCCCCCCTGAAGTTGGGGCACAAAAATTAATCTGCAGTCCATATTGTAATCATTTCACGACAGGTCACGATTTGCAAAAATATTCATGCAATTTATTCTTAATATACGATTTGACACTTACATATATGTAGATACATGATAAGACAACGGTAGGTACAAGATAACCTATTACTGACCGGAATTTTAATTTCAACAAATTTTAAGTGCACTTCTATAATAAGGTCGCATATAGGGTCGCATTGACAATGGGCTGGTCAAAAATTACATTTACTTGAAAAACCGAACATATCGATGAAGTTATGTAATTTCCTAATTTTACGTCATTAACGTCAGTAATTATCCAAAGTTTGACAGTCAGGATCAAAAAGTTGCCATTGATTTACGGAAATGGACATGTGCAATTATTGTACATGGAGGTATAATCTTAGTTTTTTTCTATAATAAAATCGGGTTCAATATGAGCAGCTCTTGTGGTAAAGAAGATAACAAAATCACTGTGTATACTCTGCAAGTATAGTTGACGGATAGAACCAGCACATGTTATCAATTCCTGCGCTTGGGTTTTATTAAATGTCATGGTCATCCTTTACTGAAAATAAAGTAGCAATGATGAACAAGGGTAAGGAACCGAGCGCAGGTGTAAAGTGTTTAGCCTTGTCTGAACACCGAGACAAGTTCAATCTGACTGAAGTTCAGGTCTTCTTATTTCTTTTTTGTAGATCTAAGGACGGCCGTATTGGATTTCCCGATAAAGCTATTTTAGCCATGCAACCAAACCGGGTTTTACATAGGCATTAGTAGAAGTATCAAAATACCGTTACCCGTGGAAGTTAAACATATTATTTTTGTTAGAAAAAAAGTTTAAAGTAATTTTAAACAAATTAACTTGAAATAATAAAGTCAATTTTCATTGGACAAGATTAATTTGCCAGTTTACCTGTCGGTAATATGGACAACGCCATGTTTGTTCTCGAAATCGTGAAAATTACCTACTCAGTATTGGTTTTCCCAGGGTTAAAACTAGAAACCACATCGCTTTCAAAATTATAAAAGCTCGCCGATGATTGGCTGTGTACAACGTCACCAGAAATGATTTAGTATTGGGTCACGGTCAGATCTAAAAGTGGAGCGTTATTTAGAGCTAATTTTAATCAGATTTAGGCAAATCAATAGTGAAATGTTCGTTCTAGATATTTTAAGATCATGGAACCACTAAATAGTGACATTCCACGAAAATTGCAAAATGGATAAAGTAAATACATGTAGTTTTCCTCGCAAATTATTCATTAGGTCAAACACGCAAAAAATTGCATTTCAATTCAATAATGAAATTTTAGACCCCGACAGTATCCAGTCTTGCATGTATATGGTACCCAGTTGGGCGCCGAGCAGGAACAGTGCATTAACTATGAACCAGTTTTTCTTGCATATTAGACTGGCGTTTCCGTGAGTTTTACCCATGACGGAAATTTCATGTGGTATAGGCTGTGCCAGATGAGTCGCGTGCTGTACAATGGCACGCTTAGGATGACGTCATTTTACCGTTATGAATTAAGTTGTAATTCATACGCTGTTGTAAGAAAGTAGTTGTAATGATATAAATTTCCATTGGAATTAAAGATAAAGAATTAAAAATATAATGGAATATGGTAGAATATGCAAGAAAAAATATCTGACATATGTTTGCGGTTCGGATCGGAATATACGTCCCTTGTTCACCCGCCAATGGGCGGTAACTCGGCAAGCCTCGTTACCGCCCTCCGATCCGAACCGCATAATATGACAGATATTATTAATCATAATATGAAATTAGGCAAAGCATATGAACGGGGAAGTTGGTTACAAAATCGATCATTTTTCCGTTTTAAAGGTGTTATTCGGTATTTCATGCACCGCTTCCGTTTTCAATCTTGGTGATTATTATTAATCCGAAAAGTTGCGATTGTTCCGTTATCGGAATACCGTGCCTATTATCATTGAGTTACATTGAAAATGGGGGCGCCCAACTAGAACTGACACTGAAAATTTCATTGATAAATATAGAATTCTATATATTCTTTAATTGTTTTTTTTATTTGATTTCCTTTTAAATATACATGGGTAGTCTATAGCTTTCCGGTCACGGTCTTTGGCTTCCCCGTAACAGTTGACATTTTATTTGCTTATTTACAGGTTATACACAGTGAATTAAGAGCCAGGTTTTTGGGACTTATAAATTTGATTTGTTTTTATCAGTCATTGTCAGCGTTAACATGGGTCTGTTGGTATTGTTAGCCGCGTTATCCTTGTCTTGTACAGTAGAAGGGTCCTTCAAGAAAGGAACATGTGCTTATCCAGGGAATATGTTGTGCGATGACTTCAATGTTCTGAACAACATGTCATGGTGGTAAGAAATTATTTGCATTTCGACACACAGCAGTGTATGTTTAATTTTGCTAGATACACTTGTTAACCTATTCAGATACTTCTTGGTCACTGATACAGTTTCTTCCGATTCCGGCCATCTGCTTAGAAGTTTCGGAAAGGTTTCATGCATTGATGGTAGAAATTTTATTTCAATTCGTAATGACATTCTTAAAACAAAATACGGGATTGATCAATACGAGTATTATTAGTAATTACTATCTAGATTTAATGTACGATGCGTATACAAATACCCACATCACTGATCATTACGATCATTTATTAATCTGAATATAAATGCTAACATAATAAGATCCATTGGCTTTTTATTAAAATGGCGATTAAAGAAAAGGAAACTCGGTATTCGAGTTTTTTTCCTGACATCTGTATGGACACAAACTGTTTTTATATTATTGATAGCATGAATTAATAAATCGTTTGTCGAAATGTTGGAAATAT